CATACACTTCACATAAAAACAGAATGTTATGCAATAGATAAAATATAAAAGGATGCATAAAATCACTTTTACAAAAAAGTAGATCAATGTTTTAATAGTGACACATCGTTAATAATATAATGCCCTTATAATACTGCTTATACTGATGTTTCAGTTAAGTCTATGTCAAGTAAAGTGATATTATCTGACTAATCTCGGCTTTGGTTTGGAGAATGTTTTTTTAAATAAAAAGGCGTGGTGCAGCTGAAGTATTCATGCCGCTCAAGACAGTTGTCTGTGGATGGTGTGCAATGACAACACGTCACTGTATCCTTTAAATCTGGGTTCAACTACTTTGAATAATGGACTTAGGCTGATGTGAGGCATCCATGTTGGTTTGCTTTTTCTGGCACTAATATATGTTGGAATTTGTGGAAAGATCTACTTCTCTTTGTTTTAATTACAGCTAGGATGTTGATGTTAACGCTGATAATTACAGTAATGTCAGATGACATGAATGCAGAATAATGAAATTATTTTGGATGGCTTAACTTGCCACAAAGACTGTAAACAGGGGAAAACAGGTAGTCTGGCTCACTTTGAAGGCAACAAAAGCCCCTTACCAGCATCTTTAAAGGTCAACAATTAATAAGTTATTTCTTGTTAGTTTAATCTGTACAAAAAAAATGTCAGTTTGTGGTTTTACTGGGAGGCTGTAACTGAGAGGTTTCTGATATCTCAAAACTTTAGTAGACTTGTCCCTTCTGTAATATAACAGCACTTTACGGAAAAGTGTTAGCTTCAAAATCAAGAAGTCACTGTGCCCAGCCAAGACACAGAACGGCATATAATCCCACCATAAAACCACAATTTGTCAGTATTACACTTAAATTGTTTTTAATGATTAAGCAAACAAAATTTAGCATGCTAATTCATGATCTTTAAAAGTGCTAACCTTTAATCTTTGGACAGAGCCATGCTAGCCATTTGTAGGTTTTTCTAGTGTTTTTGCTAAGCTAAAGCTAGGTTACAGCTACTTAAAGAGACATTTTAAGGAGAGAATAAGAGGTCAAAAGGGTGTCTGAGGTTACAAAATCAACTCAGTTCAATGTGGTTTACGTCTACATAGGACATTGGACATCACCTCTCTGCTGTTGGACATATCTTTGGTAAAATGTTGAGTAGGCCCCTGTGTCACTGGACAAACGCTGTGTCTTCCCTGTTGTTGTCACCTTGGCTTGTTAACAGAGAAACCACCAAACTGGAAATACGTTTATTGTGTGGCAGGTTTGTCAGCAAGCAGAAGAAAGGAGTTCCTCCTGCAGCATGACACAACATGAAAAATAAAGAGGAAAAACACAGTGGAGTGTGGAAAAAAGTAGAGAAACATTTTAGGGCGTGAGCAGCGAGGAGTTGCAGAGCGGTGTGACGAAAGGAAGATGGTAAGAAATAGAAATAAATCTTTAAATGCAGCATGGCTGTTTCTTGAGCGGATTTATAAAAGGAACCTGAGGATTGGAGGGTAAGCTGGAAAAGTCTCCTGGTGAGGTGAGAAGAGTGTGTGTACAGCTGAATTTGAGAATTTGTGAGATATTACTCTTTATGTAAGACAGGCAGACCAAATCCCCTACTGTGGGTGTGTGTGTGGGCATGTTTGTGCTCTGGAACATACTTATGGCATAATATTTCTTAATAAAGAATATTGATAGGGATTCTTGCAGGAAGATGTTGGGAAAGCTGCAGAGTTTCAACACTTATTTAAAAGAGAACACCTGCTCTGTTATCTGAAAAACTTATATGTTTTATGTAAACATATGTTTTTAAGTTGTCATCTCGCTCCTGTTATTTACATCATTGTACTCTTACTAGTGGTAGGAGAAGTCTTCGCACCCTTTTCTCAAATACAACACAACTATGTAAGAAAACTCTGTTACAAGTAAAAGTCATGCAATCAAAGTTTTCCATTTAAACTTAAGAAAAAGTAAAGAGGTATTAGCAGAAAATGTACTTGTGTAACATTGTCATATAGATTACAGTATATTATTTAATTATTATTATTCATGCATGAAGTCTTGTATCACATAATGTCAATTTGCATTTCCACAGAAAACATTTTCACTTGATTGGTGAAATGTGTTACTATCACTGGACTCTGACTCCCTCTGGTGGTCAAATAAATACCTTAATAAAATGTAGGCAGAGTAAAAGAAACATTTGGATTAGGAACACACCTTCAGACCTAAGACTTTGATTCAGACACCTTAATTACTAATTATTACTAATGCATATTTATGTGAACTGACTGAACCGTTATGAGAACCAATGTAATGTGACGTATACACTGTGTGGTTTTTGTAACATAGTCCACTTAGAGTGTTTCCATAAACAGTCTGATGTTTCTATACTAGAGGAATTTACAAACACAAATCTGATCAGAAATCTCAAAAAACAAAACAAAAACAAAATCCAGTGGAACTAATGAGACAGATTAAACTCATCAGATCCAGCATGTGCACACTTTCTCCTTTTGCCAAGTGCAAACTCACAAACTTGCTTAAAACAGCTTAGACATATGTTTACAAAACACAGGAAGGATTATTTGAAGCTACTGCATGTTTGTGTATTTGGATGTATGTAAGAGCTTCACACAGAAAACAGCTCATAATCAAGCCGACTGCATGATGTTGCTCATATCAGAGGACGGTGGAAAATCGTAAAGAAAAGGATGACACATGTCCGAAAACTGATAACAAATCAACATAAGCAGCCACACCAAATTGTGTGTTAACGACAGGGTGGAGAAGTATATAAGAAGTCTATAAAAGTAAACATCTGATAAAACCACAGCCCAACACTGTTATCACACTGGCCGTGCACTGCTCTTTCTGTATAAAGAAGAGTAAAACCATACCAGGTCTACTCAGCACACAAGAGGGCAAGTCAACCACTGCTTGTGTTATGTTCTCTTTATAGTCCTAACCAACTGCTTATCTGTGCAGGGTCACAGGAGGGCTGGAGCCAATCCCAGCTGACCTGTATACCCTGGACAGGTCGCCGTTTATCACAGGGCTGAGGCATAGAGACAAACAACCACACATTCACATCCACACCTGAGGGCCATTTAGAGTGACCCATTAACCTACTTTGTCTTTGGACGATGGGAGGAAGCCGGAGCACCTGGGAAGAACCCATGCAGACACAGGGAGAACATGCGAACTCCACTGAGAAAGACCTGGGACTACCAAGGTCTGAACCCACAGTGCTCTCCACTGCGCCACCGTGCAGCCCTAGTCCAAACCAAATGGACAGTTTATTCTAAAATATATAAACCATCATCATAATTTCCTATGTAAACAGTTCCAAAGTCAAGACCGTGTCAGAGTAAAACAGGTGATTGTCATAGCTACTATCATTTTATGATAATTGCAGATTATGACTCTTTACGACAGCCAAGCACTGATCGTTTCTTCATAATTACTGATCTGGTATCTTGGATTACTCAGTGAAGTCTGTCACCACTTAACTGTCATTTAAGTTGTTGTAATTTGACTGGTCCAAAGGCCTCCGCTGGCCTCGCTCGGCAAAACCAGCTTGTATCCATTTTCCCTCTCTGTCATGTTTTTTTTTATTTTTATTATGATTCTCAATATTCATGTATGGCAACATGAACCCACATGAAAAAAGATGTACAAAAAACATTATGACCAGCCAGTCTGAGATTGAATTGTTGTTGACTGTCAAACATATAAGGATGTACACAGATTTTCCTGTACTGCATAACCTACCATAAACCTTACACTCGGCACCTTCGTACTCTGCCCTTGGCTGTAAAGAAGAGCAGGAGGCACAAGGAGAACACACTCACAGTCCAACGTCCACTTTAAAATGGATAATTCTGGTGCCAAGAGTCTCAGCACTGCGTTCCCTCTTAGCTCAGAGTAACAAATTACTTCCTTAACTCTTTAGACTTTGGAAATAATGCAATATTAATAACATGTTGAACCTCTCTACGCCTTTTTTATAGGGTTGACCACTCCCTAATCTTAGGGTCGACTTTTGCTCGAAAAGAACTGGTTCATATGACGTGTTGTCCTGCATAGTTGGAAAAAAAACTATATGGCTTCTCTGTGCTGATATAGACAGTTTCACATAATTGTCTGACATGATCAGTCTGAGCTATTTCCTAATCTGCGATAAACCCCGATCCAAGCATTAGATAGTACAGACAGCACTGACACATTTCTGGTTGACACACATTTAACCCAATCGCATGTTTTATTCATTATATACATTCTTCCCCTTCTTCCTTCAGGATGGAAAAGCCTCTAAAGCAGCATTTAGACTATTGCTGGACCAAAAAAGTACCCTTTACTTATTTTGATTTGCAGCTGCTTAAGTCTCTACAGACATGATCCGATAAACATAATACAAATGAACTAACTACACTACAGTGCTTAGAATTAGACCATAGTATTGACTGGGTTTTAATAACAGGTTAATGCAGGCTCGATACACCCGTCTGAAGATGATGTTTGTTTCATTTTGAGTACAGCTGAGATAACAGAGAGTGGACTGATGTGTCCCCGTGTTTTTGTCATATTTTTCAAATAACAACAAGCTCTCGTGTTGCACAAAACGATGAGCTGGCAGTGTCGTAAAAGATAAAGGATAGAAATAACATGCAGTGAACCTTTACTCTGTGCCACTTCTCCTGTATATACGGACAAGAACTTTAATGTATATGCAACAACTGTCAACAACTACTGAACACAGCCAGAGAGAAAAAACACAAGACTATAAAAACCAACCAGAAGGGACTAGGGGTGGAAAGATGCACAGTAAAACATTTAGGAGGAAGTAGGAAAGAGATGGACGGAAGAAAAGTGTCTTTTGACAAATCTTGTGACATCTTTAATGATTCAATGTAGGGAGGGATTAAACCAAGGGAGGTGTTCAGCCTGATACATAGCTGAATTACAAAATTGAACATGTGAGAGGCAATTCAGGGGCTCAATGATAAGGGAGCTCTACCTAAACAGTGTGTGTGAGAAGGCTGGACTTTGTTCGCAGCTATTTCCAGTGCATGAGTCTCACTGACTCAATCGTTTTCAGCAGAAAGAGTTCCTCTGACTTTACTCTGAAGCCGTGCAGCTGCTATATGAGGCCATTGATCCTACATTAACAGTTTTGTTTCTTATTTATTTCAAAAGGTAGAGGGTCTGTGGAGGTCTTTTTCTTTTTGAGAGGCAGCCATGATCAGCCGTAACTTCAAGAATGTGCTGGTGGTCTCTGTCGGCTTTCTGTCCCTGTTCACGGCTTATGGAGGCCTGCAGAGTTTACAGGTAGGTGGAAGAGTTTCTTATTTATTTTTTATCAGATTTATGATGTATTGCTCATTAGAAAAACTCAAATGTAGGAGTTAGTATCATGGGATTTAAGGGATTTATTCAGAGGTTAATTCTTAGTGGGACGACTAATTATGAGATTCTATTGTGTTATGTTAACAGATTTTATTTACAGCCCATTAAATGTTCTTTGTACATCTTTGTTTTAAATCTCTTCTATAAATTGTTCTTATTCAGTGATTTTACTTGCTTTTGTGAACTTGCCCCTCAGTCCAAGTTGACATGACATGATTTTTTTGTCTTCAAATTTATATTAAACCATTTCAGCCTATCTTTAAGATACAATATGATTTTACTGACTATCTTAACGGCAGCTGTTTCTTCATTACTGAAGGAACTCGCACATGCAATCTACATCATTTTAAGAAAATATGATTTTTTTTTTAACCACAAAAATTACCCTTTTTTGACTGTCAAGTTCAAATTTTTTTGATTAACTAAACAACCTGGTTATAGCAGTGGTTAATGAATATTTACATAACTAAGTGAAACAAGACGCAAAAGAAAAGAAACACTTCTATGTATGTGTACAATCTAGGTTGAATAAAATTAAATATTATTAGTTAAACAAAGCACACAAAAACAACAACAGCAATAAAAACAAACAAAAAAACTGCAAAAATCTTGTTAAATCAGAATAAAAAAAGTGCTTAAAAACTACATGGTTAGCCACAGCACATGAAGAACAACTTTCCATAGAGTCAGCCCAGCCCATCTGCACAACTCATATGGTACGCTAATCAATTCCTATCCAGCCAGTTTTCCCAGTTTGACATACCACAGAGATAGTGCAGGTACAGTGGAAGCTTTCCATTTCACAACAGCAAGTTTTAAATCCCGTAACACATGTGGTATTTCCCAAGATGTACAAACTTGGTGTGAATGATATATCCTTACCGGAAACTGTTTCCATATAGTCATGGATATTAGACCAGAAATCCGCACATTTGGGAATGCCCATGGCAAATGAAATACAATAATTCACATTACACCTACAACACCCTGCATCCTCCCACAACCCTGCACTATGTAATCTGTCAAGTTCAAATATTAAAGATGACTCAGTGTGTCTCTATGAAATCCACCCTTTCCCCCATATTTAGAACAGATGGCTTCTTAAAATGTTATACTTTTACTGAACTTCTTAAACAGAAGTTATAAATTAAATAAAATTAAATAAATATTTATAATTAAATAATATAAATAAACTCCCTACTGCGTTATTAATCAGTTTTAATGAATGTGTTTCATATTGACGCAATTTATCTTCCAATCTTGAATTGAAGAGGCTACAAGCTGCTGCTCTTGCATGATGCCCTCTAATGCAGTCTTGTCCTTGTGCTGCAGAGCAGTCTGAATGCAGAGCAGGGGATGGGCGTGGCGTCTTTAAGCGTCATCTACGCCTCCATTATCGTATCCTCCATGTTCCTGCCTCCCCTCCTGATCAAAAATCTGGGCTGTAAATGGACCATCGTTGCTGGCATGGCCTGCTACGTCACCTACTCCATTGGAAACCTCTATCCTGGATGGTAATCAATAAGTCAATCAATGAACTCACCAGTCTCATGGTAGCTGTTAGATTTGTTATTATTATTATTATTATTATTAGTCATTATTTATTATAAATCTTTATTATTTCTGTTTGTAGGCGATGCGGTCGTTTCCAAAAGTGCATTTGATAACAAAATCAAATGAGACACACTGGAGACAAAACTTTGTTACAAAATAAATATTAACAAAATAAATATCAGCATAATAGATGTGAAAATACTGAACTACTAAAAGCACCTCTACCTAATGCAGGGTCAGGTTTCTAAGGGTTTGGGTAAATGTTTCCCCTCAGGTCAACACAGGACAGGACATATATGAAGCATGATAGTGTTTTATTAGGGAATCGACATCTGTAACGACTGAGTAATGTAATGTTTGAGAGTTAGTTCACCCAAATTACAAAAAAAACAAAACATATCCATGCAGATAGCTTTGATTTTATTTAGCTAGATATTAAAGTATCCATCTCTAAAGGTCTAAAGAGTTTTTTTTTAAAAAGTTTTAACAAAGCAGTAAAAAATTTTATTCCTCATTGCTCTCCCACAGGTACACCCTCATGCCCACCTCAGTGATCCTGGGATTGGGCGGCTCTCCCCTGTGGTCGGCTAAATGCACCTACCTGACCATCTCCGGTAACAACCAGGCGGCCAAGGAGGGCAAAAAGGGCTCTGACGTCATCAACCAATACTTTGGCATCTTCTTTTTCATCTTTCAGTCGTCTGCTGTTTGGGGAAACCTCATGTCGTCACTCATCTTTGGACAGGACACCAATATAGGTAGGAAGACAAGTGAAATTGAACATAACTTATTTCAGCCGCCTGTCTTGAAATTATGAGTAGTTTAGTTTAGTTAGTTCATTACTTGCACTTTACTGAGGTACAGTAACTGGCGTGACAAAAGAAGTTTGGTAAATGTAATGAGCTGTGGAAAGTTAGTACATTTATTAGACAAGTACTGTACTTGAGTATAATTTTGACATATTGTACTTTACAACATTTTACAACAGGGTTGTAGAGAAAATCTGCCTGCATTAAAAACTTCTTGAATATTTCCATTTTTTACTACTTTTGACTTCGACTCCGTACATTTCAGAAGGAAATAGTGTACTTTTTACTCCACTACACGTGTCTTACTTTTTACATTCAAAAACATATGATATGTACTTTGTATACTACTAGTCAACACAGTAATATACAAAGTATCTAAAAATCTCTTGCATGTATTTTATTGGTCACAAACACAGAATAATAAAATGTTCTGTAATAATATAAAAGTGTAAGCAGTCAATCAGCATAATAAATACTTTTACTTAATACTTTAGGTACATCTTGCTGATAATAGTTTTAATTAAGTAACATTTTGTATTCTGGTGTTTTTATATTTATTTGGACTACAAAAGAGCTGAGTACATCTTCCACCATTGAATTTAGTATTTTAAGTTCAACTAACTGCTGAATGAAGAGTTATATAATAGTCAGATTAAGTGACAATAACAAAGTTTCAGAAACCTAAATGAAACGTACCTGTGATGACTGAGTCTTCAGGTAAGGTAATAAATAAATACTGATCAGAGCGATGACCAACTGTAAACAGTCTGTGGTGGTGTTGCAAAAGTTTGTGGTCAGGTGAAAATGTACAAAACAGGGTGGTGCAACTTGCTAAAACAGGAGGTCTCCATTTCCAAACATAGTTGGTGATTGGTTATCAATGGCCCATAGTCAAAGTTGAACTGTGAGTCTGGGGGAGTTCGCTGGAGATTCGATTTGATTCCTGGATAACAGCCCATCTTCATTACTGACCTGCAACACTGGTGGGTGTAACTACAAAGCTGCACCAGTAAAGTCAAAAGTATGTCAAAAATCCCAGCTTTCTGTCTGTCCTATCAAATCAAACTTCCTTTTGCTCCATAACAGATAACTGACAGCCCATTGACACGTTTGATGCCGTTTAATTCAACCTTAGGCTGATGAAAAAGAGCAAAGAGGTCCATCTGTTGCATGCTGAGCATCTTTATTTGTCGCTTTGGTTCTTTTGGTTCTGGATGGGGGTGGTGATGGCGCAGTGGATAAGACACATGCCGTGTGAGAGACCCGGGTTTGAATTCACTGTGAGAAACCATTGTGTCACTGAGCGAGACACTTAACCCCTAGTTGCGCCAGAGGCGTGCGACCTCTGACATGTAAGTTGCTTTGGATAAAAGCGTCAGCTAAATAGATAAATGTAAATGGTTCTGGGTATGCTATTAGATACCTTTATGGTATCGAGTAGAATCGAAATGTCTCCAGTCAAACAAGTACTTCATTCGATACTTTTAACCAGATTGCAGCAAAAAATCACTATGTATATGTATTTACACTAACCCAACCCTATTCTGGATCTACTTGATATGCCCTCATCCTAACGCCTCAGCCTCATACTTCATTGTACATCTTGTGTGTAGCTGATAGTGGGCAAGGTTTAACTGCTGGTTTACAGCATTTTTTATGGGTTCAATTTGAGAGAGAATAAGAAAGAGTGTGTTGCCAAGTATGCAGCATACAATTTTATTGGTGTTAATGCTCTCCAGCTTATCAACTTAGATAATGACAGGCACTTCTTGGAAGGATAACACAACACAGCTGTTTATTACATTTTTATTTCCGTACTGTTTTAGGGCACGCACTGTTTATGTTTGCGGAATTATGAATTATAAAATGTGCCTCTTATAAAAGTGAATAAATAGATTTACAATATTTAATGATACACTGCTCATTGAATTAGATAACTGATGGAAACTATACAAACTAATTTAAAATATTAATATCAAGAGCAATATTTTCATCTTTAACTTCTACATTTTTGCTTTCCAACTCATTATATAGATCATCATTTCATACAATGGCCTGCATTATGTTTGAATTTTGCTATAGACATGCATTTTGTCTTTAAAGGGCAATAAATAAGACCCCCCCCCAGAAGTTATATACCATCCATCCATCCATCGTCAACCGCTTATCCTGCGTACATATACACACAAAGAAAATCATTTGTATGATTAGTGAAGGCTACAGCACATTTTCTTCTTTCTTTTCTTGGTGAAGAGTAGTATTTACGTGATATCTACGTGATATGTATTGTTTGTTGTTTTTCTGACAGCTAACATCACAGCCGAGCAGCTGCAGTCCTGTGGAGCGGCTGATTGCGGCCTCAATATCAGCGTCAACAGCACGACCACCAGACCTGCTCAGAAACTAGTGTGGACACTCGTCGGAGCCTACATTGGTAACGCCAGTGTTTACTTTGGCATCACAGTCAAGTCTGAAAGATTAAATAAGGATGTTCTTCCACAACGGTGCAGGGTTCTTTAAACAGCCCCCTAAACATACAGGCAGCAACTAGGACAGATTTTTTGGAAGGTATTTGACTCCAAAACAGAGAACAATTACCAGGGAATAAGTGTTTGCTGTAGGTCAGACATTTAAGACAACATTTGACAGCATGTAAAATATAGTGACTTATGTAGGATATATTTTGACTGCTCAATTACTTTTCACCCACTAGAAGTGGTGATTTATGTGTTTAAAGAGATAAAGTTGCAACAGCGTTCATCTGATTTGGATGTGCACACCCTCAGATTAAAAGGATAGTTTAGGGGTGCTCTAGTGTCACCCCAGAGTCTCCCCTAATATGCTGTCATCTCTATACTGTTGACCTTGATTTCTTAAATAGCCATGTTATAGTTCTTGGGTACAGATCCTCTTCCTGCCAACTAGATAATATATGGTGTTTTATAAAAGTGGCTTAATATTTTTACACAACTTTTACTGAGTCTTTGAGGGATTCTTCCAGAGACTGCAACTGTTAAGAATAGGCTATGTGTAAAACGGAAAATACTTTTTATATTCAATAGTCTTATGGCAGAGATACCAACAAGAAACACAATTTTAATGGACAAAGATGAAATCCTAGATTTTCGGTTTCATTAAAAAACTAAAATAATGAACCCTATAAGAGCTTTTATACTATGGCGAGTGGTAAAATTCAGATTTGAAGTGGTGGCAAAATTGGAAAAATAAAACTCCAACAATAAAATAACTTATTCTTCGACACACCTTCAGTCAGCAGTGTGAAAGTAATCAGAGAAAGCAGTTGCACCCTCTCAGATCATGATAGAACCATGGTTTATTCTACTTCATAACTATCAGTGTTGTGTGGTAGGCGTGGGACTGCTGGCCATGGTCATTGTGGCAGTGTTTCTGGACAACATTGACCAACAGCAAACGAGCCAGTTTCGTGGGAACCGGGAGCCGTTTTGTCACACCTTCCTGGCCACGTTTAGACTGCTGAAGGACTGGAGGCTGGTGACCCTCATCCCTCTCACCATGTACAGTGGCTTCGAACAGAGTTTCCTCTCTGGGGAGTATACTAAGGTATGGAGATCTCCAAACAAGAATCAGTAACCATATTGTCTACGTATACATGACGCTTGATCCTGAGTAAGTCTCCCTTTTACCATGAATAATTGTCAAAGTACTAGATTGTATTCCAATAATATTGTCAGACTCATGATGTACTGTTTTACAGAAAGGATAAAAATTGATGCAGCAGAACCTGAGGAGTATTTTTATCTCTCACATTCTTTTTTTCATTCTTTTAACATGCCGTCTATATTACCCACAATGCTACAGAGGTCTGATAAACTATTTTTATTTTCTAGTCTTCAGACCCAACTGATGCTCCCTCTGGAGACACAAATGGCTTTAATCAACTTTTTTTTTCCACATGTGCAGTAGGCCTGTAAACAGCCTGTAAAATCAGTGAAGTGCATCTTTAAAGAAATTGTTACATACAATATATTGGTGGGAGGCAACACATGTAAACAGATGGGCGCTAGCAGGAAATAGAAGCTGTTAAGCCGCATTTTAGTATATTGTACTAAAATATGACAGAGAAGTGGAATATGTTTCAGGAGACGTTTGATAGTTTTTTCGTGGCTGTGAAACAGGGTTACCGTTAGAATTCCTTGTCATGGTAAATTAACTTACTTACTCTTTGTACTTATACGTGCATCTCAAAAAATAAGAACAACGTGGAAAAGTTTATTTGAGTTTCACTTAACCAGACAGAGAGATTAAATGCTCAGGAAACCTTGCACGTGTTTTGTTTTTTGTTTTGTTTTGTCGACATTTGTGTATTATAAATTCTTTATTTTGAAATTCTAATAAATTTTGAGATGCCGCAGTTTTGATTTCCATGAGCTGTAAGCTTTGATTATCAAGATTAAAACAAACAAAAAGGTTTGACATATTTCACTTTATTTAGCGCTTTACACTAGATTAACTGTTGTGAATCCAAACTGACTACACGCAAAAGAAGAAAAAAAAAATCAAGAACTTTGCACACTTTTCAAGTCAGCCTTCAGACCATCAGTGAGTGTTTGATTTTCAAAAGACATATTTTCAGTGAACTATTCCTTTACAGATGCATTAGTCTTTATTCCACTAGGGGGCAGAAGAACTGTTGAATAAGTGTATCAAACTCCAAACCCCATATAAAAAGTACCTTTCTCTCTCAAGTGTACTCTTCCAGACAATAATCTCACAGCCCTGCCAACAGCAGCAACCTTGATCAATATAGCGGTGTGGGGAATTAATTAACGTCATAGCAGCCATGGCTAACGTTTTACAAGATATACAGCTTCCATCATGTAACTAAGGACTTTCTAAATTTATTACAAGTAATATACGGTAATCTGATGACACCCAAATAAACGACTCGTAACTAACATTATGTAAAAGGGTTAATTGATTTGCTTCAAATTGTTCGTTTGAGATGTAAGTAAATGTTAATGTAATTAATAACTGATTCATAGTTAACTGTTAACGTTGGTCTCAACAAAATCTAACGTTAATGTTGCAAAATAACGTTACCACATTTATATATTAAAAATAATTTAAAACCTTGTGAAGTATAATGTCAATAACAGATATGTGAGTTATTTTAATACTTTCCGGTGTCTTACCTTGACTGTGAGCCATAGACTGCTAACAACACGGCCACAGGATCCAACCGCCACCGTACAGCACTGGGGGTTTAGAAGCTACCTTTGCTAACGCAGAGTAGCATATAGCATTAGTGCCTTAGCATGAGCTAACTCGGTCCTGTCGAGCAATTCGGGTCGTGGGTGGAAACCACTGTCGCCCAGAGCCCTTTAAAGACCCTCTTTAAAGGGCTCTGGGCGAGAGTTTCAGCAACACGTCACCTCAGCTGCACCCATGACCCGAATTGAAATTATTTATATATGAGATACTGGATATATAATTATCCAAGGAAGGTTAAAATCAGGGCAACTGGACTTGGTTGATGATACTAGAAGACGTTTCGTCCCTCATCCAAGAGACTTCTTCAGTTCTGACTGACTGGTAGGGAAACTCAAATATTTAAACTTGCCAAGATGATCAATACTGCTGGTTCGTTAGTGCTCCTGGCTGCTGTAACGACCATCGTTATAGTCACTGAGGCCAAATCTGAACGACCATCGTTGGCAACTGATTGATTTTAACCTTCCCTGGATAACCTTCACAGACATCTTGCTAAGATATATTTGTAAATGTTGTTTCTTTGCAGAACTATGTGACGTGTGCTTTGGGGATCCATTTTGTTGGCTTTGTGATGATGTGTTTTGGAGCCTCTAATTCTCTGTGCTCCTTTCTCTTCGGGAGACTCGCTCGGTACACTGGGAGGGCTGCCCTCTTCTTCCTGGGTAAAATCTCTTTTATAGTTATACACATACAGGGTACTGTACATGTGGTGACTTTCTAAAAAAAATAAACTGCTCACTGCTGTTCTGTAGAGCTACATGCCTTTGCCTTCAAAGTTAGGATTCATCATGTTCTGTGTGAAGAAAATATCCTGCTAAAATGTAATTTGGACAATATGCTCCAATTTGTTGTTTGATTCAGAAGGGTTGAGATGCTCTCTTCTGTTGCAGCCTCACTTTATCTTTCAAGTCAGATCAGGTGGATGTTCACCAGTATTCACTTTGTCATCACCGTTTCCTGTGTTGTCCTAAATTTTGGTTTTCTGAGCTGCAGAAGACGCTTTTATAAATATAATCATGCAGTAAATGGAGACTAAACAAAACATGTATGAAAAACCTGATCTGAATGAACTGCCGATATCCACTTGACTACCATGTTTGTCCATTTTCAGCTGCAGTGACCAACTTTTCCTGTATCATTGCTCTCATGTTCTGGAGGCCTCATCCTAACCAGCTGGCTGTCTTCTTTGTATTTCCTGCCCTGTGGGGTATGGCAGACGCAATCTGGCAAACTCAGACCAACGGTAAGAAACTCCCAACGCCTTCGTCCAAAGAACTGGATATTGTAATGATAATGATAGTTGTGTTTATCCATCGTCCTTGTAATAATCCACACATCGTGCAATATCTGCAACAGTGGAGAGGTATCTACACAAGACTGCTATGAAACTTGGCATGGATATGTGTGGTTCAACCCAAGCACTGCTTCTTTAAATCAAAATCATTATTTAATCACATATTTCAAACAGTTATTGCTGTTGGAGTTTGTAAACACTTGAACTTAACATATGTTGGCCCGTCGTCTGTTTTCTGTCCTGCAGCTCTTTATGGCGTCCTTTTCCCCCAGGAAAAAGAGGCAGCATTTGCTAACTACCGCATGTGGGAGTCACTCGGCTTCGTTATCGCCTTCGCCTACAGCACCTTCTTATGCCTGGAGTATAAACTGTACATCTTGCTGGCTGTTCTGCTGGTGACTGTCATCACTTACCCCATAGTGGAGTACCGCGAATACAAGAATCCCACGCCGCCCATTGAGGAGAGGACCTACCTAAGCCACAAAGAAACTGCTCAAACAGAGGACAAGACCGTTTGCCAGACAAAAATGTAAAAACTGAATTTCAAGTGTTTTGTTCTTATTTAATTTTTTTTTTTTACATCCTGATATGGTCCCTGCAAATCAGGTGTTTGACCTAATGCAAAATTGTTCAAATTGCTTTCAAAATGCTTTCTAAATGCCACAGTGAATAAACCTGCTCAGAAACCTGCTCACTGATTTTCACTGCTTCACCGCCCCCTAAACCCTCTTGTTCCCTTGTGGAACAGTACCACAAATAATAATGTCACATTTCAAATGCCAGCAATTTGCAGCTGAGATCCAAAAAATCCACTACTGACAAGGAAAACTATCACCACGCTAAACGCTGTAACAAAAATGCTGCATATTTGACTTGATGATGAGATCGTAGTTTTTCTGGCGGAATATTGTACTGCGATTTATCCCTGCTGAAAATGCAGGTTATATACAGGTTAAATATCAATTATGTGCTGGGAAATTAGGACCTCAGATTGTTGGTCTGTCATGACCAACAACCTTCTAACAATCTTCTCCACGCCGACTTGTTGTCTTTTTACAGCGGTGTTGTATTTGTATCCAATTATCACAGCTTTTCTACTACAAAGCAATATTTTTTCACATTTTATAAATGTTGACGTACTGTGACTAATATGTGTAACTGAAAATAGATACAGTAACCTACTGTACATGTTAAGAGCTTAAACTTGCAAAGTGAAAAATAAACGTTTTAATATTTAAAACTTTGTGTCGAAATACTGTCAAACTTGTCAAACTTGTGTCCTTTCACCCCATTTTGTGTGATACTACACTGTCAGCTACCACAGGTACAACACACAACAGCATCAGCTGTCTATGATCGCTTGGAAGACTCTCCGGAGCTCCATAGGCCATGGTTAAATCACACACAAATGCAAATAAAGGTCACTTTTCTTGTTTGAGATAATGTATTAAAATAACTTTAGTTTTGATGGGTTTCTTAAGCAACATGGGATTAATTCCATTGAAATTCAGTTTGAAAGGCGTTACCCCCAGCCCAATGTAATGTGCAATGCTATGTTAGAACAGCTGCCAGAGCTGTAACAAACGTTTGGTTTTTGATGGCCTTTTCACTCCAAGTAAATTCGATGTGAAAATTCCTGGGATGATTTGAAAAAGTAATTTAAAGAGGTCATATTGTGCTTTTTGGCTTTTCCCCTCTCCTTTATTGAGTTATATATATTTTCTTTGCATGTATTAGGTTTGCAAAGTGAAAAAGCCCAACGTCCACCCCAAAGGGAGTTCCCATCTCCCACGTAAAACACTGCTCTGAACTGCCTGAAAACAGCTCGTTTGTAGTCCAGACATTTTCCCGCTTTGCTGTGACGTCATAGCAAAATGAGTTAGCTGTTCACTTTCTCCGGTGAGTACATTTAGTTCACTTGACAAAATTATCAGCCATGTTAAAATGCGTTAATGTGAATAACAGACGCACCTAGCTAAGCAAGCTAGCTAGCTCCACACACGGCCGTTATCTCCACTGTCTCGTCCAACTATGGTGACGTCCGGACATAAACTTGTTACTGTGATTTAGAGACAGAGCTCAGTTACAACTTCATGGATGAAAGATACATTAGTTAGATACATACATTAGTTACAGATTAACAACTCACCGCTCTGAAACTCTTGCTCCAGTCTATGTTGCCAAGCTGGTAAGGGGACATACAGCTGAACCGAAGCCGTGTTTACCGGCTTCTCACAACACGCCTTTCTCTGCTTCTGATTGGCTAGTAGTTCTTACCTGGGAACTGCACATGTGCAACTCCCAACAAAGTTCATGTAGAGGCAAGATGTATCACTCCATAGCTAAAACAAAGCGTTCAACACACAGGGTTAAAAGAGGAGCTGCAGCAATGTGCTGTATGACAAAGATATGGTGTTTTTTGAAAATGAAACCATGTAAACCTGTTGTGGTACAATCCCTAAAAATTATTTTGAACCTGAAAATGAGCATAATACCACCTCTTTAAAATATAGTTAACTTTTTTTTGGTCAAAGTGAAAAAACAATCTTAACTGCATAAAGAATATATATACTAATACACCTCAAGCTTTGTATAATGACAACTGAATTCACTTAGAGGGATACCCCCACTGAAGGGGCTTTTTTCTTTTTACATCTGCTTCAAGCAAAACATGGAAAGTCCCATCTACTTCATTTGGCCTTACAAAACACTTATATAGGTGAAAAATGTTTTTTTAACGTGGTTAACAAGGTTATTATTGTTATCAGCAAAGGACCTGCAGAAATATAAATAACACAATAACAATAACAACACCTTTTTCTCCCTTCCCAATGATGACATTAGATATCAGCAAAATTTACTCAGAGGGATACTTCCACTGAAGGAGCATTTTGACATTTATAAGAAACTACAAATATCTTACCCGCAAAACAAACCTGCATCAAACCACAAACTTCAGGTCATGTGTGACTTGACGTTCTATAGTTTTGTAAGCTACTTAACAATTTATACAGGTAGAGCTTAAACGATTAGTTGATCAACAAACAATTAATTGGCAACTGTTGTGGTAATCGTTTATTTTTCATGGTTCCAGCTTCAAGAATGTGAAAACTTTCTGCTTTTTCTTTTTACTTGTTTTAATAATTTTAAAGTGTTTTTAATAATTTTGAGGTTTGGACTGTTGGTTGGCCAAAACAAGCATTGTGAGGGTCACTTTGGGCTGTGACGATTTTTTTTAAACACCAAACTATCAATCAATCAATTAATGATGAGATGATGACAAAATAGTCAGTAGGTTAATCATAACGAAAATAATCATTAGTTGCAGTTATAATACAAAATGAACTCCACTTCGATCAACTATGTCAGTAAAATCTTGCTTTTACATGAAAAATTAATAATCAAATGATATAGTCACTGGGAACCTTTCTCTGCATAGAGTACTTTAACATTATACTTTATGTACATTTCTACGGAAGCCCTAAGCGGCCATCAATTCAAATCTTTGTTTTACTCTGTTTTCCCGTGATAATTATCTCGTGATAACAACTGTTGTTTTCTCGTGATAATGGGATCATTTTCTCGTGATCTTGTGATAACCAAACAGAAGTTTAACACAGTGGTCGGCAGGAACGTTTTGTAATGGTAATTTCAGCTTGGTTTTAAGGGTTACCGATCAGCTCAGTTGGTAGAGCATAAATCTCATTATCTTGAGATTGTGAGTGCAATCCTCATAGAACACCAACTTTAAAAAAAATCTTTTTCATAATCCTCTTTAACAAAGTTGTTATGAAGATGACTAATTTGCATGCTCACAATTAAGCAAGTGCTGGAGTGTGTGCATCCCAGCGATTGGTTCACATTGATCAACCTATGGACTTTTAGGAGGAGGAATTCATCCACTTCTCATTCAGGCGAATCCATTTAACTACACATTTCATGACAGCTATTTCAGAACCTTTGAAATAGCTGTCGGGAAATGTGTGATTGGATTCCCCTGAATCTCTCCATAACAACTTTGTTGAAGAGAATGATGAAAAAACACAGAAGACCCAAAAAAAGTTTGCTGAGTTTAACCTAAAATCCTGGGGCTGCAAGCCCTGGACTCCACCAAGTGAGCTAACTAGTAACACTGTTGAATGAAATTATCCTAAAGAAACACACCTGCCGATCCCCTGTATTCAGCTATGGTTCGTTATCTCGAGATCATGAGAAAATTATCCCGTTATCACGGGAAAACGGAGTAAAAATGTCTAATTAGACATTATGATTAACATTCACATTTTTATAAGATTCTGATTTTGTTTTTTTAAAATAATACTTACTATATAGATTTTTCCTAAAGTGGTCTACACTTAAATGCCTCAGGCCATGATTAGGTATTTGGATTAGAGTCCAAAATAAACAATGCCATCATCTGCAAACTTGATGACGTCAACAGATTTTCGTTTTATTAAGTTTAGGGTAATAAAGAACATACAGGGACAATAAGCTGCATTTCAAATGGTGCTTTTATTGCAATGTGTTGCATTCCCACATTCATAGATGTTATAGATTTGTTAGTCAAAGCATCATTTCCTCAAGGTTGGCATCCTCACCTTGGAAAAAACAAAACAAAAAAAGCAGAGGGATCAAATGCACGAGGTGTTTGTGTTTTGAGTGTAGTAGAGAAGTGTGTGTAAACTTGAGCAGCCATGAACACATGAATAAACATGTCAAACCTCCAAATTTAGACTTCCAGTAGATGCAAATAAAAGAGAGTTTTTAAGTTGTCAAACAAAATGAGTTTTGTTTGTCTGTCAGCCTGCAGGGCTCTCACTCCCTGCAGGGACTGGACCCGGCCTGAGACTGATTGTCTACAACATTCCAAAGAAAAGGTAGATTTCTTTATATTCACGTTACACACCTGAACGGGGGAGGGAGAGGGGGAGTATTAAAAGACACAGAGAGATAGAGAGAGAGATAGAGAAAGAAAATATAACATGCATAAAATTCTCCCAGATGAACATTGTCACTCATATTGTCTTGTAATAGCTGCTCCGATGCCTCTTTAAAAACAAACTTTACATGAGTGTAATATATAAAACTGGACAAAAATGAGTAAAATGGATAATATATATTTATATATTTATTTATATTAATTTGTACATGGGAGAAAGTGGAACCTTGGTCATTTTTTCTCAGATTCTCCAAAGACAGCATTACCGCCCCCTAAAAACAAAAGTGGTGAGTTAATAATAAGCCTTCTTTTAAAGTCTCTCAACCGCCAACCTCAGTCCCAATACGGCAGCACTTACAATACTTGACAACTCATGCTGTAGTAACTTTCACATAAGAGAAGAGATTAGTTTTGAACACCTGCGTTAGGAATGACTGGGAGTTAAAGGACTATGTAGAGTCTTATTGGTGCACAAATACCAAACTATTTTGGACCAATGACAAGCGAGAATGCTTTATATTTTTGACTTAAGATAAAAGCAACCGAAGCTGATCAAACTGTATCCTCAATATTTGATGCGTCAAATGGTTTTTGGTTCTTTTTGCAGTGAATTTCCCTGACACCGAACATGACTACCTACATCAGACATTAGCCCGACCCTGCACCAGGCATTGGCCCAATCCTGGTATCAGCACACCACAACATTATTCTACATCTGGCAGCACAAAAGTGTGACAAGACAAGCAAACCAGAGAAGAGAGGCAACAAAGTTAGTGTGTTGTCATTTATGTCAGTGCACAATTGTTGCTAGATAGCAGAGGTGAAGTCTCACACAACCAGACTTTTGCTAATAAGCGAGTGTCCACCTTGGTTTAAGGAAAAACAAAAACAAAATCCTGCGGCAGAGGGAAGTGAACACTGAGCAGCGGCGGCAGCTACAGAGCTAAGTGTCGACGGTTGCTGAAACTGTGTTGTGAGCAGGAATGTTCTGAGTTCAAGCTGGAGAAGTTAACCTTTATTTTTTATTTTTTTTACAGTATGCCTGGTGTCAGCTGACAGCGCAGAGAGGAGAGGAGGGGAGGGGACATCACCTGAAGAAGACTGGCATAGTATTTATACTGAGGATCGGTTGGTGTAAACAGAGAAAGACAGAAAGAGACAGAACTACATTACAAAGAAGGTAAAGTGTACAATTTTTAGTCATCATTTGGATAATAGATATCCACTAGGTCAAGTTCTTCATAAAGAACCCGAGCAATTCATTGATTTCAAATTAAACTAGTAAAACTAACATTTTCTTTGTACATTCAGGGGACATTACTTACTCTATCTCCAAATACTAATCTGATTGTTTCCGATGGCCTTTTCACTCCCAAGTAAATCCGATATAAAGTGCAAAATTAGATTGTATTTGCAAATTCCTGGAATAATTTGATTAATCTTCTGTGTGTAAAAAAGTCATTTAAAATACAGTAAACTTTTTTTATAAAGGTGAAAAAATGTTTAAAAAAACCCTGGATAACAAGGTTATTATTGTTAAACAGCAAAGGAGCAATCTTTACTCTTTACTCAGAAAATATATACAAGAGGCACCTCAAGTTTGGTATAAAGTATTCAGTTAATGGGGGGGGGGAAAGCAAATTAACTTTTTTTTTCTCCCCCAAGAATGAGATTAAAAGCTGTGAAAGGTCATCAGATTTCAACTAAATTCACTAAGAGGGATTTTGGGTCTGTTTGTTATCTGTGTAAAGCAATTATAAATACCTTAACTATGAAATTAATGATTTAGTGATGCTCCAGTGTTAATTCTACATACCGAAGTGAGGAAACGCTTGTTTCAGTAAGGTGCATAGCTATCAGTTGCAATGTTTTCTTTCTTCCTGTAAACGAGTGATAGCACTACAGGCACAAAATACCTCATCGGTGGCAAGTGGAGACGCCTCTAAACTGACCTAACGTTTGGGGACATCACGCAGAATGTTGCCGATAGGCCACTTTAAAGGACACGTGTCTAGAAAGTAACGAGGAAAAGATGAACATGCAAAACAACGTCAAACAGCAGCAGAATGTCACTGCGAAGAAAGAGAGAAATCCAAAACGAACAAAAGGGCCGCTACATTATGTTTTGTCCAGTGATGATGAGGTTTGCATATGATATACATCAAACATCTTGAAGCTTTGGTCATTTACTATTGATAAATGCAAAAAAGCCTACATCAGTCAGACAGTTAGAAAACTGAAAAAAGAAGCCTACTAATATACACAACAACCAGGCAATGCTTCTCCATAAAACCAAGGCTCCACTCTCCCAGATCTGCTTAAACTTTTGACAACAGAGAAAATTAAATAATATGGCCTTTTTTTTTTAAATTAACCCGTACAAAGAGCCAGTCCACACTGCTTCTCTCTCAGTAAAATCACATTCAGCAGTCGCTAAAACCATTCTCTGGCATAGTTATCTGAAACACCCACAGGTACTGTGCAGGGTCTAAAGAGTAAAAAGAAGAAAAGAATCAAACCAGGACATCTTCGACTTTTCCATCTTAGAGAACACCAGATATACAGTATTAATCACTTACACACACACAGACACACACACACACACACACGCACTCACTGATAGTCATATACATACATACATCATTTGAAAAATAAAAAAGTAGAAAATCAAAACATAAAATCAAAACATGACGGAGGCGAGTAGTTTTTTTTTTTTTTTTCTTTTTTTTACCACAAACTCGGAGCACTACTTTTTTTGTAGATTCTGAACAAATACATATTCACATTTCTCTGTTATATACATTATGTTAACAGCTTGAAACCAATGTTAAAGAACCTAACCTTGTACCTGTTAAATGTAGTGAGGAAGGAGGGACTGTCGTTTCCATTGAATGGCTGTTGCATAAAAAAAAGATTACATATGTATTGGTTGTATTTGGCATGTTCGTTTGTTTTTACGCAGGATAAGCTGACAGTTGCTGTTGCGTTTCTGCAGCTAACAGAGTAACAGAGGAAACCATTTCCATAGGAATGCCTATTCCACGCAGAAAAGTGTAAGGAGTGGGGAGGGGATCAATACTGTATGTGTGAAATCATCAGAGCAGATAAACAATATGAGGCTGACACTGGCAGAATCCTTCCAAAAATACATTCTTCCACTTTGTGCAGCTTCTGTCTCTGAAAAATTTTGACATTGACCAAACAGCGGCACAGGAGTGTCTGACGGGTGTTTTTCACACTGTGAGAAATGAGACAAATGCTCTAGAAAACATGACAACTGCTGCAACATGGATGACGTATGTTTACTGAAGAAACACGTTACCAACTGCAAATTAAGATCTCTGAGCTTCCTCGTTCCGATTGATGGGCTCTCTCTATCTACCAACAGTTTTGCCTGCAGTTAAAGGCATCACATTTACTACAGATTTTATTTTGAACAATACTGGAATCAGAGTCTCAATCAAATTCTGTTGAATTTGGGAGTGCCTCTCCTCAAAGGGAGCTAACAAGGGTTAAAATAGCTCCACCGCAAATCATCACTTTAAGTGGAATGGAAACTGTCTATAAAACCGACAATTTGGGTTGGAGGAGGTTTAACTCTTATTCTGTTCTTAAGTTCTACAGAGAAGCGCAGTAATGGAAACTCTCAGTTTGGAGGTAGAGGAGAAGTTTTAGTCTGAGACACCACTGCATTTCACACGTTTTGCACTGCTGGTTGAACAAAACAAAGACAGTGAAGATGTCACCTTGGGCTCTGGGAAACTGGGATTTTACATACTAAACACTTAACCGATGAACCAAATGTATGTAATGTAAATAGTTCCTGGTAAAAGCTAATGTGATGCACGTAAAGAAGAATATACATGATGCAGAAGGTGTTTAGCGCTGCAGTCGACCAATCGCACAAGCGGCTCACAGTGTGAAAACATGGTCAAGAGGACAGATTATCAGACAGAACTGTCTGATAAAACAGTAATGAGGTAATAAAAAGTTGTTAAAAATATCTACTGATGATTTACCCATATGCCTTTCTAATAAATATACAGACAGACAGAAAAATAATAAAATAAAATAAAACCCATCTCATAAAGTCTTTTTAAATAATTAATTGTTTAAAATATCTGTTTTATGTCCAGGCAGCAGGGTTTTTTCCTGCATTTATCACTTGGTAACTGTTCCTGGGCCTCTGTTTGGATACACAGTGCACTGATTTGCACTTTAACACGTCCAAATATGCACTTAAAGCATTTCAGCTGAGCACAAAGTGGTTCTCACATCATACAACACCGTTGGTGGGTGGAATGTTGACCTTGTATACTATCCCTCTATATATGGGTAATGTTGCATATAGTGAGGCATCTCTGTTAAAAAAAAAAATTATAAAAAACAGTACACAGGAAAGTCGTACTCCACTGAAGCAGCACCCGACTGTACGTTGTTGACCTAATGTGAGTGACTCATTTACAGGAGGTGATGATACTTCCTAACATTTGAACGTGATGTATGCGCTGTATGCAAAAAAACCTCTCCACAGATTCCACAACTGTCTCCGAATTCCCATGACAGAAGGAAGATTAAAAAACAGAAAAACAACAAACCAAGAACGAGGATTCACACAGGATAAGTTCAGTCAGGGAACGTGTGATTTTGTGCTGGAGTACAGACGTGGCAGATTTAAAATCACTGAAGACCTTTGTGGTCGTTACAAATCACAGGGTGTTCCCTAATTAAATTATTCCTGTGCAAAACGAGCTTAAAGGACTGATAAAAAACATGTCAGGCCTTACAGCATCCTACACTAGAAACCCTTGGGTATTAGTGTGCCACACTACGCCCTAAGCAAATTCTGATTCTGTTAATATGCCTGATATCAAGACCATTTGTGTATCTTCACATTATTTAGTCATGTAAAGAATATTTAGAGGCAACGTCTCGGCAGAGTTTTCCTTTTTCTAAATTCCCGGTAAGGTGTGAACTATGAGAAGCACATCATCTTCTGTTTGCAGACTTTTTTCTTTTTTGCTAACAGAGGTCTGTTATCGCTGAGAGAGACAGTGTCTGACTGAGCAACAGTAGTCAACAGAAAACTGTATGTGTGTGTAGCCAGTGGAGTGAAGTCTTCATCAGGGAACCAGAGGTGGAGAGAGAAAGGGTTGAATCCTCCCCAAAAATAAAGAAAGTCCCAGAGGGGAACAACACTGATGAAACAGGTTTGAAGGAGGTGAGGAGAAAATAGAAAATAACCTATCTTCTGTGACTCAACCCATCTTGTTTTGATTCAATTTCATGACAGCTTTAAATTAATTATCCATCACATCTTTGTTAGGAACTTCTATTACTATAGCCTCTACTTAAATATCATTATATAGGAACAATATCCAAAAGCACGCCGTTTGCTGTGACTACAGGCACAATGTTGATGAGGCTCAAGTACCGTTAGCATCACCAGAGGTCATGTAATCACAGCAAAGAACACAGTTTAAGGTATTATTACGCTTTCTTATACAATGGTTACAAACACATGTACTGTCTGAAAGGTTTTCTTGAAAGTATTGTACATACATAAGAATAAAAAAAGAGGAGGTAAGCAAGAAAAAATAGCTAACTAGCTCCCTGGTTACCACAAGAGAAAGCAAAGCAATCAAACTCCCCCTTTTTTTTGCAGAAAGTGTGGCTTCTTGTAGCGTTAAATGGGACGCCGAAGGGAGCGAGACGTAGCTATATTTTAAAAAAATCAATTGCTTAAAATTTCTTTTCACATTTCAGAAGATGGAATAACTTCTTCCTCCACTGCAACATGTAGCGGTGTTACAATAACATGAATATCATGATGCCAAAAAAAAAAATAATAATAACATAATCTCAAAAACCATGAGCGGACATTATTAGAAAAAAACCAACCCTGGATCGAATCACATTATACATAGTTTTGCTGTTCTGAGTAATCAATTAATTACACTTTCTTTTGTTTAAAAGGAAAGCAGTTACAAGAGAAGAGTGAGCTCATCCCCAAGTCTTTGTCCTTCTGTACTGTACAATACTACCCGCCTGCATGGTGCACATGGCAAAAAACACTGATAGGCCGAGAGACAGCATGAAAGATACAGAGAGAGAGAGAGAGAGAGAGAAAGAACCCAACAGGGCTCTGTATTCACAGCTGCTGAGGTGAGGGGTCAAATGTGATGGACAGACAGTTAAATAATCATAACAGTCTTTCTTTTTTATACTCTAAAAATAAAAATAAATCCTCCTCCCAGGGGGAGAAAGACACGCAAGTTCCAAACTGAGCAGCATCCCGTCTGTCTCCCATCCATCCATCAATCCATCCATCCATTCTGGCTGTTGTGAAAGCTTGTTCTAATGACCATGAAGGTGATGATGATGATGATGACGGTGAGAGCAGAAGATTTTAAACTAAACAAAAACAATTCAACCAAAAATAATAAAATAAAACCGAAGACGTTATAGAATAATATGTAGAAGAAGAAGCAGAGCTTGGGAAAAACTCAAACTTCCACCAGGCACTGTAGCTGATAGAGAGAGACAGTCGCAGAACCAGCTGATACTGAGCTTCTATCCCACAATGCCACAGAGGTCTGAAACCTTAACATTCCCACATCGCTGAGAGACAGGTAGAGTAAAACATAAAACAAAACAAAAATAAAAAAGCCAGAGGTGCTGCTGTGCGGGATACGCCCACACTTAAAACGCTGAGCTCAGCTGTATGCTGCAACTCATGCTCCCAAGATGCACTGCTGCGACGGCCCGACAGAAACCGTCCCATCAGAAAATTAAACAAAAGGAGGCCGGCCCTGATTTGACAGTGACGACAACTTGGCAAATCTACAATGATGTCGCAGTTGGTTTCTTGGGTCAGGAAGCAGGAAGTAGGTCACCAAGGAATGAGCAGCAAGACAACACTGCCTTTAATAGGCTGAGGCAGACAGACAGGTTGTCAGACAGATTAGACAGGCAGGTTTAAATACACTGCTGCTCCTTCTGACTCCAGTCTTTTCTTAAAGTATCCCCCTCCCTCCCCCCTGCACAGGAGCGGTCAGGCTGCGTAATGCCACCGACAGCCAAACCTCTGAGCCCACACACTGTGGCCGTCCAAAACATCCATCCTTCCATCCATCCATCCAAAAGGTGAGACAGAGACAGCAATGGGTCTGGTGCACCGAGGAGGCGTAAAAGTGAGAAGTAGAGAGAGTAGGAGAACTGAAGGGGTGGAGGTTGTCACTCGGTGAGCAGCTGCTGGAGGAGGCTCTTCTGCTGGGCCTGGTTGTTCTGGGAGCCCTGCGGTCCGGGGCCCTTCTGGGAGGGCGTCGCTCCGACAGAGCCCTGGTTCAGGTAGGAATCACTGCCAACCAGGTTCACTGTGCACTGGACGTCCGCAAACACCTGAACCTGCTGCACCTGCAGAGACAGAGGCAACAATAATACAAGGACCAGACCAGCATTGAAGGTTTTACAGCCTCATCCTCACTGGAGCCCCACAGATCCTGGATTTTAGAAGCTACTGATACTGATATCTGTATTTGAGAGTAAAAAAGAAAATCTGTCAACAATTATAATTAACAGATGTTTCTATTCTTCTTTTTTTATTTATTTAATTTTTGACATAAAACCGTTTTGGATAAGGGTCCCTTAAAATTGGTGGTGACTGTACTGAGGCGGACATTTTACAGCAGAAACCTGTCTAGTGAACAAGCTATGTATGTAATCACACAGTTTCTAATATACCTGAAACATGTTTTCATCTTGCTAATAAAGGCAGGAATTTATGTGTGTGTTTGTGTGCATTTGTATTTCGAATACGTTAAGAACTGTGCATCCATTAAACCTCAAACTGAGTTATCGCCATCACACAGGTTTGATATAAGTTAGAAAAAAATTTGTTGATACGGAGTTCTAAGAGTTTTAAGTTCTAAGGAAAAGCTGAATATCTAGCGGTATCTCTGCCATTGTCGTGTTGTTCCAGTGTTATTAATGCTGTAGGTGAAACCAATGTGAGACACATGTGAACAGGCAATGCTCTAGTATCTATAATTTCTGTACTTTCTCAATCCAGCAGCTAACATATACACAGATACCATTATATCTGTCATATACCAATAATATGAGCCATGCCAAGTATTAGAAAATGAAATTGGGGTTTTAAGTGTTACCTTTGTTCATTTGATACTGGGCATCTGTAGGTTTCAAAAACAAACTTTTAAGAACAAAAATACCTCTCGTTGGTAAAATTAATTTAACAACCAACCAGCCTGGCCCTTGTAATCAAATAAAGTTGTGACACAATGAACAGAAAATAAATTCCTGTATTTAATTGACAGAAACAGAGAAGTAGAAAAACAATCTAAATGAGAACAACACTCCACGTTACGCATGCTTTTCTTTCCTTAGAGGTTAAATTTAGAACTAACAAGCAACAGATGCCACCAGGATGATGTCCTTTCCAACATGCTGTATACCAGAGTAGAACTCGGTGAACTGTACTTATATTTTATGGACTCGAAACTTCAAGGAAATACACCACAAAGTGGTAGGAGGGTAAGGGGATGGATGGAAGGAAAACACGAGACAACCCTTCAAGACGATAAAGAACCTGGAGGTTAAATGTCACGTACCTGCTGGTCGCTGCATACTGAACCCACGCTGCTGAGGTTACTGTTGCTCATGCCAACCGGCTGCCCCATGGGAGGTAATGAGCCGACACCACCCGAGCCTCCGGCCATGGAGACGGTGATGCTCATGTTGTTGTAGACCCCCTGCTGGCCAAAGGCCTGTCCTGCACTCTGTACTGACTGACTGAACAGGCTGCAGTAGAAACAAGACAGCACATTATTCTGGGGGCACGTGAAAGGGTCTCACTTAAAGGTTCAGTGTGTAAGTTTTAGTTACATCTAGTGGTGAGGGTTATGAATTGCAACCAGTGGCTCACGGTGCATTCACATGCTCCTTGGATGGTTCCATTTTCTCATTGACGACGATCCTGGCAAACGACCCAACTGGGGTTAAATAGCTGAGTTTCCCTGCCAGTCAGTCAGAACTAAAGAAGTCCCTTGGATGAGAGACGAAACGTCTTCCAGTATCTTCAACCAAGTCCAGTTGCCCTTGATTTTAACCTTGGTTGGATAACTATGACCTGGATGACTGAGAATCTTCACAGATATCTTACTACAAAGTTGGATTAGCTTTATCTGAGCGTATAAACAACATGCATCTAGTTCACTCAACATGGACAGCAAACTAACCGGCACCACATGAATGCACCATTCTTCTTTTCTTATTTCTAATAAACCAGACGACTACTACTACTACTACTAACAATACTACTAACATTTCTTCTTCATCATCATTGAAAGTAGTGACGAAACACGCTCTGTAGAGCAGTTTGTCCGATTGGGCTACTGTAGAAACATGGCGGTGCAACATGGCGACGCAACATGGCAACGTCCATGTAAGAGGACCCACGGTGTGTGTAGATAGAAATGGCTCATTCTAAGGCAGTGGTTCTCAACCTTTTTTGGGCCAGCGAACTGTATCCATTATCCAGGTCCCTTACTGCCCCCCATCAAAAAGATGTTGGCTATTTGCCCTAAAAATTGATTATTATAATTGTTATTATATGTTGATGTTGCTATTGTAATTAAAAACATTTAAAAAGCACATAATTGAATGACAAACATATTTATTACTTTCCCAGGGAACAAAAAAGCCTACTTAAATTTAATTAAGAAGTTCATGTTCCTCCCAGAAACTGTGTGAGAAGCCAGAGACGGGGTGGGGCACTTAATAAGTGGGAGGTCTGAGATTTTGGCACGTGACAATTCAAAGTATAACAGAATGGAATATAATGCAGTAAAGCTCTCAGACATTCTTTACTGCTTTTAAAATATGTTCTCCTGTAGATCAACTTCGTTAATATCATCCCTGCTGAGTTAATACACATGATTTAGTCTCCCCTCCTCTTTTGAGTCTTTTGTTTGGGGATTTAACCTCTAAATATTTATTTGAGGCACATTTTCACCTTGGCGATAAATTTTAATTCAGTTATTAACTGGATTTTAATAGCTCATCTGTTTTAGCAGGTTTTCCGCTTACATTCAAAACTTTCTGCACATTCAGAATCTCGCCCACATTTATGTTTTCTCTTGTTGTGAATCTTTGGGGTAAACTCGCCTTAACTTTTTTCCAACCAAACAAATGCCCCCCAAAAGTACCTCAACGCCCCCCTTTCCAAAATATTGCTTCCAGCGCCCCCCATCATACTCTGAACGTTGTTCTAAGGTAATAAAAACAAAATGGTTCATTACATAAGGTCTTTTTACACCACTGAAAACATGGTTATGTATATTATATTGCATTTTTGTCAACAGGTCCTCCTAAATATTACACACTGGACCTTTAAATAAACAAATTAAATAAACTATAAAAAGCTGTTGAGGCATGTGAGATAACAAGTGATTTTATTTTACCAAATTAGGTTTGCATGAGCCCTGTACGCTTCCTAACCTGTTGCTGCCCACGCCTGTCTGTTGCCAGCTCTTCATGTCTGGTGACTGGTAGCCAGGAGGTGGCGCTTGCTGAAGCAGAGGACTCTGGGAGGTGGAGTTCTGAGGTGACAACAACGGGCTGGTCGGGCTCATATCAGGAGGGAAAGGTGGGTCTTGCTGGATAACTTTAAGGAGGAAAAGTAAAAAAGTTAGGTCAGTTAAGACAAAAAGTGAGTGTTCACCTTTCCTGCTAAATGGTCAAAGCAGGAGTACTTACTTCTACTTTTTTGTATTAAGCAGTTACTGCGCATTTTTTACTTTATCGTCAGCTTTTGACCAAACTCTTTTCCTTGTCTCGTCTATCAAACCAATCAGGTCTTTTACTTTATTTTCTGTTGATGGATTAGAGAATTTTTGGTGTCTGCCATTTCCTAAAACTAACTACCTAGCTCATTGTATACATCTTATATTGACAAAAAGTGAAAAGATGAAATACGCCATTGGACATTTAATAATGCAATGTTGAAGTACAACTATCTACAATAAAAAGTAGCAAAACAAACATCTATTTGATATGAAACTGTAGTGGATTGTTAGTCTGGTCTTAAATGTGGTGGAGCCTGTTTCCTTGAACTTACCAGGCCCTCCAAACTGCTGAAACAGGTTCTGCTGTAATGAGGAGTTCACGGTGCTGCCGAACTGGCCCTGCACGGCGCCAATCAACGTCTGGTTATTCAGGGGAACTCTGCTGGACAGTTTGTTGTCCAGAGGGCCCCCGGTCATGGGGCTGAAGTGACTCGGTGAGGTAGGGGATTTTCCCGTCATTGGGTTGTACCCTGGTGGGAAGTTGAACTGCTGCTGTTGAGGCGTTGTTGGGGGACCTTTTGGGACCCTGGCAGTTCCAAAGGACCCCGCGGCTCCAGTCGGAGCACCTGCCATGTTCTGTCTCATCAGCATGACCTTCTGCTGGAAAAGCTGGCGCTGGCGGTGCTGGATGCTATAGAGCTCCCTCTGACGCTGGGCCAGCATCTGGGCATTCAGCGGAGGCTGCTGACAGATTTGATGTAAAAGAACTTGTTACACAATACTTATTCTCTATTTGAAATATACAATACACCTTGTTATTCAAGAGGTCACTCATTCAGTGTATCTGCAGGTTTTAAGAGAGAGTAAATTAATGCAATAATAGTCCAATGGTATAGTCAAATGTTTACGGTCTTTAAAGTGAATCACTTCCCCACTTCTAATTGAACTGTATTATCTGATTTCTGGCCACTTGACTCCATGTGCCACTATGTCCACCAGCTAGCTGCTAACTTTCAGGTTTTTGTGCGGTGCTGCTGAAACTGAAGCAAATGACAGTGGTGAGAGTGAACCAAAACATCAACGAAGCAGACTGTAAAACCAAAAAGAAGTTGGAGGATTAAGAATAAGCAGACAGATGCAGAAATGCTCTGCGGAGCTGAGAGGAGACAGCTGATAATTATCTCTGGGTTAATCACTAAGAGCAACCCTGCACACGAGTATTCAAAACATAGTTAAAATAAAAATATTGTTTACATCAGCTTTAAGTAATATTTTCTTTCAGGCTCTGTGGAAAAATAGCAGCGGGTGGTCAGGGAGAGCAGAGCGTCATTGTCGCCACTGTGCCACTCACTTGTGAGGACATCTGAGGTTGTTGAACCCCCTGACGAATTCCTATGTTCACATGTGGAGCACCTCCTGGAAACTGATTCATGCCTGCCATCCTGTTCTGGAGCTGAACGTAGGGACAGAGAAAAAAGGTTCAGACAGGGAATAAAAAATTTGATCACTGACATTGGTAAGAACATAGAGGAGGGATGAAATCCGAAGATTCATTATGGTAAAGCAGGATTCATACTAACATAAAAAGCTACAAATCAATAATTTGTGCTGTTCATTACACCTCTCAGCATTTGTCTTTGATAGTCAGGAGCAATAACAAAAGCACAAAGGGCACAGAAAGTGTGAAAAATAACTCTAAACAGTTCCTTTCTATGACTTGGTTATGGCTTGTGCATTGCTATTGTATTAGCATCCTTTAAATCATGTGGATAAATTACACCTAATAAGGTTTCTGAACACGTGTCCTCCTGCACAGCTATGACTGTACTCATTAAACACATTGAGCCGCAGCAGAAATAGTTTGTTGCAAAAGCAACTTAGCAACATCTTCCATCCCAAAATGGAATATATCCCTAATGAGGTGAAATACAAACCACCACCCCTGCGTCCTCACCTGCTGTGGGCCCTGCAGCCTCTGCTGCAGCTGCAGACGCAGTTGGTTGGGTGGCAACCTGAGCTGAGGGCCAATCCCCTGTGGTCGCATCATGCCTGGCCTGAGCCCCACGCCCGTTGTCCCACCAGGAAAAGTCCCTCGGGGGGCTCCAAACCCCAGACCCTGTGGCCCTATCGTGGCCAGCTCTGGAGGAAACTGAGCTTGAGGAGACTGTGTAAATTGGGAAGGATAGGTGGGGAGTTTAGGGTCCATAGAAACTGGAGTGGCAGTGGATTGCTGGATTGGGAAGCTTTGGGGCAAAGCGTCAAAACAGCCACCCTGGAAAGAGGCAGACAAAAATAGAAAAAAAAAAGAGATATTAATGATGTGTTTCTTTATTATAAATGAAAAGAGCTCATAGCCATGTCATTTCAAAACAAGTAAAACATTTTGCTACATTCAGAATAGTTAATTTTTGTTTTTGAAATGTTAAATTCTGTTCCTTAAAGTTGAATGTGACTTGCACCAAGTTAGTTTGTGATTTCTAAGAGACTGTCTGATTACCCTCTCCCTCCCTGACATCTCTCATAAGAGCCAGTGAAGCTAAAATAACTTGACTGAAGTTGTGGATTACTTGCAAAATGAAAATACCTCCAGATTTACATGAAAGCAGATCAGCAGGGTTTTTTGCCAAATCCAGCTTGGTGGCTCAAATATTCATGGCAGAGGAAATTAACATTTTAACTGAGCAACTGTTTGTTGTGATTAAACCTGCAGTGCAGACCTTTTGTCTCCCTCTTCTGACAGTGAGAGTAATTACACAACACTGTGGACACGTGCCTTTAGGCTCTGCAATGCTGAGCTGTTGCTACGGTTGCTTCCCCCTTAATATTAAATATGTAAAGCCTTTCCTAACTGCGCTCACGAACGGCACTCTTTATACCTGTGCACATTCACTGCCCAGTATCACACACTTACCTGTACCAGTTTGTCAATACCCAGGGCCTTATCCAGCTCAGCCAGTTCACTCTCATCAGTGCCACTGAGGAAGGAGACGAGCTGCTCTAACAGAGCTTTCTCATCGTTTCTGCCTTCAGGTGTGGTCGGAGGGCCCAGTACTTCATCCAGCGTACAGGGCACACACTGCCTGCACACACAGAGAAACACAGCAAGAGCCAGTGGGTAAAATCAATTTTCTCCCATAATTTCAGAATTAAAATTTACAGTTAAGTGAAATAGATTAGGTATTTAGAGTACAGTAATACTTACTCTTGTGGCGATGCTAAGTTAGTTTGTAAAGGGGCTCCAAGACCATCAAAGGACAAGGTGTCAGATAGAGCCAGAGGCTGGAACTGAGAGTCTCCAACATCCATCTTGGTTAGGCCTGAAACAGATTTGAACAGTTTTAAGGGGGAAAAAATCCACAATTAAAAACCTAAAAAATATATTAACACTGAATTATGTAACAAATTTGGATTAAATTATATTAAAATCTTGTACAGTAACACCTGCTAAATTTAAACGTAAAGTTAACATCAGCTTAAAATCCTACTTTTGAGGCACAATTTTCATCTTGCTGCAATGACATAGCACTGTATTGCTCTCTGCTACATTACAGTGCAAAGCTATTATCACTTCAGGGGTTATATATGTAACACAATACAGTCTGACTTTACTCAATGGTGATGTTGGTCAGGAGTACTGAAACTTTAAACCTGAAGAGGTTGGTTCAACAATTCCTACTGCTACAAAAGATTTAATGTCAAGTTACTGTATATTTGTATATTTTCAATGACTAACTGTGATAGTTTGACTGTATTATGTTTTCTTGTGTACCAGTGCTTGAACTGAACGGGTTGATAACTTCTGCCTCTGGAAACGGGCTGTTGTCTTTGGGGGTCTGAAAAGGGTCTCCCTGACCCTGGGCCTGTGTCTGGCTTGGAGTGGGGGGACCGCAGAAATCAAAAGATGACTGATTCTGAAGGCTGCAGCCAGAGGGCGGGCCGCCATCACAGAGCCCTGTGAAACAAACACAAGCACATGGAAAATCAGGAAAAAACAAAATAAAAGTGTCATTTATAAACATTTTAGTAATGACACACAGACTCAAACTCTGAGACTTTTATAGACACATGACATTCTGCAGTGTTGCAGAAAAGTAACCTATTCTGGATCCACGTGTGGTTTGTTGACACCGCAATACCTCCGAAAAGCCACAAGAGGGCGTACAGACGAACAATGTGTAGGTAAATAGGGACCAGTCTGGCTCATACTACTATACTGGGTACTACTATTACTACTGATAATATTATAATAATAATAATAATAATAATAATAATAATAGATAATTATTTCAAATCCAATAACTATTTATTAAAAACATTATTTTGTAATTTCTTGAAATAATAACGGTATTTTTCTTTTTAAACAAAACACTCTTGTATTGAGTGTAGTATTGATACTGCACTTCAATGTCCATAGGTTGTATGCAGGTAGTATTTTATTTTTTTAACTCATCTTCATGCCTCCCCTCAGCTGAAACTGTACCTCGGTTAGGAGTGCCGGGAGGTTCTCTCTTCACATTTACATTGCGGGGAGTGCTGGCCTCTGCAGGCTGGAGCTGAGAGGGTGACTGCAGTTTAAGCTGGGGGGAAGGGGAGTGGAGCTGGGGTGACAGCGACTGCAACTGGGGCTGGGACAGGGGGGACTGTAGTGGCGCTTGGGCCTGGGGTTGGGGCGCTGGAGACTGGAGTTGGGGGCCTCCTCCAGGGGTTGTTGAATCATCACTGCCCAGTTTGGCCCCACTAGGGCCTCTTAAGCCAGGCAGCAGCTGGTTGAGAGGGTCCATGTCAACAGCACTACCAGACAGCTGAGGGCAGGAAAAAGAGAGTTAAGCAGAAAGAAATACAAAGGGATTGAAATGAGGGGAAAAAACAGGATGGAAGAATGAATGGTGTAATGTCGTAAAGAGTAAATAATTAAAAGAACAACAGGTGGCAGAAAAGGGGGACAGACAATCAGTGACAGAGAGATGGGAAGACAAAAAGGTCAAAGGCCAGTGAGCTTCAAAGGCTGCAGCAGGTAGCTGAGCCTGCAATGGAGACAAAGTCCAAGAAAATAAACATTCAGCATGATTTACAACGCCGGTCCCACAACTGCCTGTGCAGGAGCAAAGCTCATTGGGGGGAATTCCAATGTTTAAATGTTAAGTATTCTTCCTCACCTGTGTAAATATGTTATATGCACTGAATGAGGTGTTAGCTAAACGGGCTAAACATCATTCTGCTCTATCAGGAAAACAGCTAACACTCAGTTCAACTCACTTGCAGGTTGCGAATGCCTGTGGAGTAACCCATGATGAGGCTTTTAAACTCAGCCTTGTCTAGCTTTTATCATATTCTGGTTTTTAGCTCTTTAACTATTTGAGGCAGATAAAGGCACAGCACACCCTCACAGGTGTTTTTAGTTGTTTTGGTTGATTAGCACTTTGCTCGGGTTAAAGGTGATTGACGCTACTAACAGGAGAGTCCAGAAGATTTCAGTCAAACATAGTCTGCATCCCCATTTAAAATTAAGTGTGTGGGTTGACCAGAGGTGTGCTCAGCCTTTAAATGCATTTCTTTTAAATTATTATGATCATCAAGATATGTATTGTATGCATTATAAAGCTTAAAAATAATACTTATAATGATGAAACTGTTTCTAAATGGTCTCAAGTCACATGAATTTACAGTACAGAAGTGCCAGAATATGTTCACCTGCCGACATATATACACACATACCAATGAACAGCAACTGCGAAAAGCCAGGCCAGGTGATTTATTGTCTACTTTTATGCTGGCTGTTTGGTTGGGGTTAGGGAGGGTTAGGGATAGACAATCAAAGTCATGAATCGAAACTTGTGCATTTAAGTTTCGTAAAACTTCTACGAAAACCCACGGCAGTTAATGCCCACTAATATCTGGCTGCACACCCGACCACCAACACCCAGGCGCTGTTCAACAGAGATAGTGGTGTCACAGATAATGTCTTCATTTACAAAACTTTTTTTCTATTCTAAACAGCACAACATTCTCTCGGGAAAACTGTCAAAGGTGAAATCTTGGGTTTAGCTTGGTTTATCACAGATCATTATGACATTGACAACAACCGTACCGTGGAGTCTCGGCTGTCCCTGCGGCTGTCTCTGCGGTTCTCTCTGACGGGGCTTGATTTGGGACTGATGCAAGCAGAGCTGCTGGAAACTCCCGCAGGTTTGGATGCACTTCCTGCTATGACGATAGACCCCGTACAGGCTGCTCCGTCCACGCTGGCTCTCTTCTCCACTTTTACCCTAACCGTCTGCAGGCTGAGAGCAGAGGGGGGTGGCAGGTCCCCCAAGTCCTTCAAAAACAAAATTACGTTTCCGTTAGTATTTTTCATGACAATCGTGTTTTCGTGTGAAGATGATGTGGATTTTACAGGGCGGACACAAATACTGATATTTTATTTAGTAAGGATGTAGTAGGGAGAGAATAAAAAAACAAAAAATTTAAATAAACACTGATAAATCTGTGAAAATAATTAGTTCCATATAAATAAAAATCCATATAAATCTGAACATGCTAAGTCTTGACAGAACCTTGTATGTAAAGGTCATGTTTAAGTCTCACCTTTTCGTCTGTATCCAGGAGAAAACGGAGTAGTTGATGGTCCTGTGGCTCTCTGGAGCTGGACTTGGAACCTGCTGTAGTCAGTGCCGGACTGGTAGGCGGCTCCTTCTTAATCTCAACCTGGTTCTTGTTAATTCCTTCCTCAATGGTGGAGGAGGCATCGTTGGGACTACTGTCCTGGAGCAGCCGGTGTAGGATCTTATGCCGCTCTGTTAGAGTACTGTGCGAGGCAGGGCACTGAGGGGCAGGAGGAGGGTTTGGAGGATGAGGTGATGAGGTGCAGTGAACACTGTTGTTGTTGTTGTTAGATTCAGCTCCTGTCCCGTTGCTGTCCAAGAGCTGACTGGGTCTGGGGTTACCCAGCTGTGAGGCAGAAGGAAGGGGGGCTTTAACAGAGTCCTCTCCCCCTTCTTCTCCTCCCTCTGGAGGTTTTGCTGATGGAGGCCGAGTAGAGGAGCCGGTGGGTGTACTGGTTTGTCTCTGACGGACAGGAGAGGACAGGGAGAAGGACCCTGTTGACCCACTACCGGCGCCGCTACTACAATCACCACAAGACTGCTGCCTGTTGAGGCTGCCTCCACTGCTTGGTGCCCCGGCTGGGGAAAGGAGACCCGGTGTGGAAGGAGAGAAGGGGTTCCCCGGTACGCGAGGGCTTCCCCCTAACCCAGGACTGGCCCGTGGCATCCTGGGTGACATAAAAGAGGTAGGGGCGGCTGTGAGTGGGCTGCTCAAAGGAGATGGGCTATTGACTTGCTGGGAACAGGTCCGATTGGGCGTCAGGTAGCCTGTGGGTGTGGCTGGGTTAAGTCCATGGGAGGAGGCGTTGCTGTTGTTGGGGTGAAGGCCAGCGGTGGCGAGGCCTGAGCCTTGGGTCCAGTTGCTGCCGGGAGGAAGGGAAGGGGAGCGGGAGGCGGTTTGGGCAAGGCTGCCAAGGTTCGGTGGAAGGCTGGGGTTAGTGTTTTCCTGAGAGCTAGCAGTGTTGTGTTCCCTGGGAGAAAGCAGGAAAATAAAGCATAACTGTAACTTGAGGAGACTACATGGTAAAAAAGCACTGTAAAGTCCACACGGTGCACGGTTCATAATATGTGTGTTTACATTCACATTAGTCTTATGCAAGTTTCAAATGGATATATCTATTTCCCTGTATATGATTCCAGGTTTCAGACCATCTGCATCATTGCAGGTGTGTCCGTGACTCTGCCAGAATTCTGTTTCTGTACAAAGCTTTTTACAAAGCTCTTAATAGTCAGGCACCATCTTATCTTAAAGAGCTCATAGTACCTTACTACCCCACCAGAGCACTGCGCTCCCAGAATGCAGGGTTACTTGTGGTTCCTAGAGTCTCCAAAAGTAGACTAGGAGCCAGAGCGTTCAGCTATCAAGCTCCTCTCCTGTGGAACCAGGTTCCAGTTTGGGTTCAGGAGGCAGACACCATCTCCACATTTAAGAGTAGGCTTAAGACTTTCCTCTTTGATAAAGCTTATAGTTAGGGCTGGCTCAGGTTAGTCCTGAACCATCCCTTAGTTATGCTGCTATAGGCCTAGACAGCCGGGAGACTTCCCATAATGAACTGAGCTACTCTCTCCTCTTCTTTCTCTCCCTCTGTATGCAACCTCATCCCATTAATTCATGTTACTGACTTCTTCACTTTCCCGTAGTCTTGTGCTTTCTCGTTCCTCTCCTCTCTCACTTTCTGCAGGTGTTTCTGTCCCTGTACCTGTGGAGTCTGGATCTGTGGTTATGGGTCACCTGCTGCCCCCATGTTCCTGCCTATGTTTGTAGTCAATAACTGACTTTCAAATCAAATAATATTTCAATAATATTTACTGTCAGTTTTCACATCAAACTGGAGGAATAAAAAAAGAACTATTCTAATAATAAATTCTTAATTTCAGTAAACTAAACGCTGCATTTAAAAAAAAGTTAAAGTTAAGTTAAAATAAAGTTCTTAATTTCAGAAAAACAAATAAAGAGTGTTGCCTGAAGTGTAGTCTCAACCAATTTTATAATAAACACTCAACACATCTTAACAATTAAACAGCTTTAATACCTCCTCTTCACTCTCATTCCCTCTTACTAACCGTTTCCCTACTTTCTCTTGTTCATTGAGAATGTGAGCTCTAGCTTGTCTTGCTGCCTAGGATTGTATTTCTGTTCCCTCAGTTCAGATTTGAGTGGGTACGTTTGCTCAAATGAGTGCTTTGTCTCGTAGTGGCGCTTCACATTGCCGCTTTTATTCGTGACAGTCTCGGATCATATGAGATATTCTGGGTTTGAACTTCCTGTGGGAAGAATGTAAATGCAAGAATCTGTGCATTCTTGATTAAAAGCCATGTGAAATCTCTTTTCTCTGTCGTCTCCTCTGTCCACGTGTGTATCTCACTCACGGACTGAACTTGCAATGTTTATCGGAATGCACAGATTTCACAGGCTGAGCAGCATCACATGAGACATTTGGAACACATGTAATTGGCCTGTGAGTTTCCTGGGCCACTAAACCAGTACAGTAAATGCTAGAAAAGATGCGCGAGTTAAAATAGAAACGCTCCATCACGAGGTAGTAATTCCCAATAATAGATCGGCTGTAGGTCCGGGTCCGAAGAGGATGGCGGCTAGGTCCGGATCTGGACCGCCAATTATTGACCCCTGTCATAAACATTACTATAAATATCTGTACCATTATTCATTCAGTCTATAGCAACATAGATTCTCTCCCCTGTGACTGTGCTGTATTTACCACTCTTTAACTTCTCACTCTAATCAATAGAAGACTAAAGAAAACATGACATTTATTCCCTGCATTGCCAGAGCCAGACACTGACTTTCATTTCAAGATGAAAATCAATATTAGTATATTTTTTGTTGTTTTACTTCAACTTAGAACATCAAACATGGCCTGAGAATGAAAAACCTGGATTCAGCAGTTCCTGAGGATGCCACAGTCTATCAGATTACTCCAGCTAGCATATCCCGATCTTATTTGACTTTATTTTATCCCCTTTATTTTATTGTATTTTACTAATTTTATATTTATCTTAAACGTGTATTTTAGTCTTTTCAATGTTTTCATGCTTTTATCTTGTATTGTTTTTGTATTATTGTCTGTTGGGTATTATTGTCTTTACACTTGTTAAAGCACTTTGTAACTTTTTTTTGAAAAGTGCTCTACAAATAAAGATTATTATTATTATTATTATTATTATATCCAGGCTTCCGAAACCATGATATGGAGCTAATATGTGCAAAAAAAACAACCAGGATACTCCAAAGACCTCATCATAACTGGGATTCTCAATCAGATTCACTTTACATTTTGTTGGTCAATTAACTTGTATTTGGGTCTGCATTGATTTTAATCTATTTTTTGGGCATCTTCATGTTTGTGATGATAATTTTTTCAATGCACACAGTCTAATTTCAAAAATAATAGAAATAATGACTAATTTAAACATTTTATAGGAGCATCATAAAGCAATAGATCATTCTGTTGAACACACTGTTAAACTGAGATTTTACGTTTGCTGTCCAAACAATAGTTTGGAATCAGCTCCAAAAATGATCGTAATGTACCACTGCAATACACGGAAATCTGAACAGTAGAGTCAAACACAGTACCTGTCAATAGTGTGAATGCCCATTATGAAGGGCTGTACGTCAGGGTTGGGGGGGCAGCAGAACTTGCAGCGGGTCTGAGCGCTGAGCGGCGTGCCATCACTTAATGCAAAATGGTACAGCGGGCTGACAGCGGTGCCGTGGGTCATCACTGTTGGGAATACCAACACACACAAACACACAAAGGACAAGAGAAAGAAACAGGGTTTAGACTTTAGTTTGTTTTCCTAACTTTTCCTTTCACAGATGAATCCAGGCTTAAAGAGCTCCGACACGTCCTAACGGCCTAAATGAGACGTTAAGGTGTTGCAGTAGCTACACCACAAGTGAATTCAGAGTTGGAATAATCCAATACAGTTCTGCCTTCTATTTATCCTTTTACTTACATGCATTGATCTTATAGGTAAGGTAATTATGTCACAGTCGCCTTGAAACGCTTATAATAAGGTTTGGACTTGAAACAGCTGACCTTGATGAGGAAAAGCTTATTTTTCTTGCAATACAGAGAGAATAGAAGATATCCTTTGATGCATCACATAAAGCTCTACCACACTGCTTAACTTTGGTTTGTATTTACAGGATCTATATGTAACATGATGCTAACATGTAAAAACGATCCATCCCAGCAGTTCTGCTGCTGGCTTTTAGACTTTAGGGTAAATCAAGATTGATTTTAAGATGTGGTGGACAGTTTGATGATACTGGCCTGAATTTAGCAGCTGGAATATGACTGTTTTGATCCACGTTTGAAAGATAGATTGAATTGAAACGTAAACAATTTGTCGATTAATCTATTAGTCTATAAAGAAATATATATGTTACAGCCTTTCCTGTGCTTCCCGCTGGATAAATCTGCATATCCAGAACACAAACTCTGAAGTTGATGCAGGTTTGGAACCAAGCTGGCACTACAACACATCTCCTGCAAGTAGGAAAAGTTACAGAAATTTTGTATTCAAGTCCTTCTATTGTAATGTTATTGAATTAATGCTGAAACTCTGGTAACCATGGCAGAGCTCGCAAGGAGTGCGTCAATGATTTCTGGGAGTGAAGCAGAAAAAAAGAAATCAATTGTGGCTACTCACCCTCATGCAGCAGCTTCTTGGCGTGGGACGGTTCTTTGCCCTGCGGCTGAAAGAAAGTGTAGATGCACTTCCTGACCAGGTCCTCCCAGCCAGGCCGGCCCGTTGCTCGCAAAGCACTCGTTTCTATGGAGATTATCTTCCCTGAAGCGGAGCGCGCACACACACACACACACACACACACACACACACAAAGATCAGTCTACACAGATTTCAAAATCTGCAGTAGCCTCCACACATTCAGGGTTCACACGTGGTTCACACTTTTTGAGTCGGAACATTTCCCAAAAAGGCTCTTTAATTCTTTCTTTTTTTCCTCTCTAAATTTTTTAAAGGGGTTTCAGTCCACCTGGACCTAAATGCATCATATTAATATCATATAATAAAGTAAAAGTTTGAAGCATGATAAAAGTATCTGTATATTCTGCTACTTCCCTGTAATGTAACCCAACGGCATGCAAGAGAACCTTTTTGCTGAGAGTACCGAGGTGAGTACACATCTCAAATTCCATTGTATTCCAGAAATACAATGGCTATTATATTACACATATGTGTGTCTCTGTGTGTGTTACCTGTGGGGTCCTGCTTCGTGATGAAAGACTCAGTGCTGAAAGGCTGGGCACGAGGTATCCGACAGGCAATACAGATCAGGCAGCTCTGCAGGTCTGAAGAAAGAAAGGACACAAGCAGTGAGGTTTGTGTGTGCGTCTGGTTCTGTAAACCAAATAAAGAAAAAGAAAAAGAACGAACATATGTGACCGCCAACAAATGTCTAAACTGCTGTGGAATAGATGCAAGAGCCCGGCCGAATTGGCGTGCCGATATGGTCTAATAATTGCAGATAAATCGGTTTCGGTTTTTATAACAGCCGATAAATGACAATTCAAAAAAGAAACAGAGACAGAAGATGGATCCTTCAATCATGTTAAGAGTGTTGCCATTTCATAGTTTGTCCACCAAACTATACTGGGACTTCAACACAAAAACAGAAAGAAGTAGCATACTGTGAGGAATGTTGGAACTACATTATATAATGTTATCAAGGCCACTGCAGCAACGCCTCCGAACAATATGAAATTTCCTGCAAGAATCTGGTCCCCGTCCAACTGGTCAGATAGTGTAAGTTGAGTAAAAAAGAAAAATAGATGAGAAGATTTTATCTATCAACAATTTATCACAAAAAATTGGATTCCTTCCTGACACAGCCCACCTTTGATGTAGTCAGGGAAATTAGAAAAAGAAGTGTCATAAGAATATCTGAAAATAAATGTTATTTCATATTACACATTTTAACATGTGAGGCTGCTTGTGGGGTTTACTTATTTTACATTTTGTAGTAAAATATACAGTAAATTAAATAAAATACTGACAGCTAAAACTATTCTGTATTAAAATGTTTCCACCCACTCAGCATGGCAGAGGTAACTGAAGTCCCAACTTGAGACCATTTTAATGATTCGTGTGTGGAAAGTACTTCCAAATTCCAATTTCCCACACAAACATTTAATCAAGCTTTTATATTATGTTTCACCAATGCATATAGGAGCTACCTAAGCTGAGCTTGATAAACTCAATTTAGAAGCAAAGAAGTGGTTAAAGCAGTTGTAAAGATGATTTCAGCCACATTGGGTTAGGGAAATAAAAAAAGCCTTCATAATAAAAGACATGAGACTTGCACAGAAATGACAAACTTAAGCTACAGTGATGACACACCAGTAACCAAGTACATTTTATATATCCATTTTCAAAATATTAACATATATACATATATTTTCCTTTCCAAAATATTAGATATATATAATATCCATATTGATATTGGCTTTAACATCGATACAATGTATTGTAGGGTTAGTGTAGGAAATGCCTGAAGACTGCGTGCATATGAGTGTGGATGTTTGCACGTACCATCTCCCTCCTCCTGCATGGTCCGTGGTTGGGACACGGTGAAACACTGCATGATCTCATATTGCTGCCGAGCCTCTGGATTTTCCGAATCCAACTCATCCGGCGGCCTCTTCAGCATGCGACAATTAAAGGCGTGGCTGTTCCTCCGGCCAACTTCCTGCGGCCACGGCACACCATTTACTGGACGAAGAGGAAAATAAACACACAGTTTAGTATTGCTGAGTAAAACTACAATTAACCGTTGTTATTGATACAAAAAAAGAAATACATCATTTGGGAAAATGTTAAAAGTTACCCAAAGGCAGAAAAGAAGAATAAATAAATATAGGTTTGCAAATGTTTTTATGAGGACAGAAATGCACTGTTGCAATGCAATGTTTTGGTGAGTAACAATGAACAAGAATACTCCTCAGGGCACCTTAAGATTAAACATACAGCAAACTATTTAATGTGATACCTTGGCATTGAGTGTTACAAATAGAAAAAAAAACATGGTCAACACAACTGATACGTTGTTTTTATGTTATACAAAATATTTAAAGGCTGGACGCAATTATTATTTAAGCCACATTCCCCATAATCATTGTTGCTATAACATGCCAATCTTATTGACAGTTCATTCAGAGTAATCACTCCTGGCTCAAAGTTGATGCAGCAGCGATTTTCAGATGCAACACACCACATTATGACAAATGAGTTTAGCATATTTTCCTTATTTTGCCCAAATGGTGTAATAGTTCATAGACCAAATCATCCTATAATCACACCCAGATGTACTGAAATACCTTCCTGTAGGGTAATATGTGTGCCTCACTGGGATGGCAAAAATGTAATTTTCACTATGAGACTGGTTTCCAAAGAAAAAAGGAGGAAATACAAATGTTCAACCTTGTCGTCTACTGCACTCTGTTATCTTTTGTGCTGATATGACGCCCGTCAGACCCCCTCCGCTTTCTTTATAATCTCTCCTCAAGGTTGTAGTTAAAAATTAAAACAACACTATCACAGGGAAGAAAGTCACTGTTTCACTCTTCCCTCAAACTCCCCCACACATACTCATATCTGTACACTGACTTTACAGTTCATTCACTCTCCTAGCAACATTTGCAGCTTTGTGTAGAGCACTTAAAACGGTGTTAATTTCAAATTCCCATAGCTCGTCATTCTACTTTTCTTCACAGCTCCTCAAATTTGCTTCAGCTACAGTACTTTCCATCAATAAACCAAGTTAATTATCTGTATTAAAGTATGTATACTGATTTTGCAGCCAAAACCCATCTCCTGCGTTTTAATTGCCTCCTTAATGGGTTTCGTTGGCATGAAAACAGTTAAATTTGAAGATACTGTAAATGTAATTACCAAATATGTTTAAAAAAATAATAGCTATTGGCATCTTAAACCTAGCATATAAAGTATTGGACAGCAGATGCAGTCAGTATTCTCAGTCCCAGCTCACTCACCCAGGCTTTTCGGGAGCAGATTGCGAACAAATTCGTTGTGGTCTCCCACATGGAGGATGCTGTAGACACTGGAGGTCATCAGCTCCTCTTGGGCGTATCCAAGGTAACTCGTCACATTCTCAGAAACAAAGACGATGCGGCCCTCCCGGTTGACGACGAAGAAAAACCCATCAAGGGCCTGAAGGAGAAGGAGAAGGAGCAAGAACAGAGGGAAGAGGAGTAGTAAAAGAAAATCAGATTGTGTGTGATGAGTGAAAATCCCAGCAGTGGACTTCTGGATCAATTCAAAAGAACTGTAGTGTTTTCGATTGTGTATGCATTGTTCACCTCTAGCAGCATGGGCCCCAGCGCCTCTTTCTCCAACAGCCCCTGGCTACTGGAAGAGATGTCGCTCTTCTGCACCTCATCATCTGGAGACAGAAGAGCTGCTTTCTCTGTCAGGAGGGGGAAAAAAACACAATAACAAATCTGAATACACAGACAGAAGTGTCCTGTACCAAAAATCTGATAATAAATTAGGGAATTGTTAAATGCTTTAAATTGTCAGATTTTCTACAGTGTCGATCAAAAAATTATTTTGTAAAACATGAATATGAGAAATTAAGATGTGCCAGTTTGATCAAATGTTTGTTGTTTTTTTACTGTACATACTTTTTGTTATAAAATACTATAACTTCTTATGGATTGCAGACAAAAAAATAATTGTTGTCAGTGAAAATCTAAAGTGCAAACTGGTTAAGCCTCTGACAATTCACTCCAGTGTGTGTGTGTGTGTGTTTCCTCACCCTGCTCACGCCGTTTCATCTGCTGGATTTGGTCCACAGTGCTCTTGAGGATGTGGCACTTGTCGGGCTTGACACTGAGACTGGCAATGTCGCCCATGTTGGATGACAGCAGCTCAGCCAGCTCCTCGATGTAGCGGCACTCCAGCTCCCGTCGCCGCTTCTCCAGACTGCAGAAAAAATAGGAAGTTGTGATTTAACCTGATGTGTTTATTTCTTAATAAACCAATTAATCCTGTGGTCTATAAACATCAGAAAACTGTGAAAAATTGTTTATATTTTCCAAAGACTCTTCAAAACCACCCCCAAAACATAAAGACATTCAATTTACTATAGGACAGAGGGAAGCAGCAAATCTTCACATCTGAGAAGCCAGAAACATAAAAAAATAGACGTGAACAATTAATTGATTATTAAAATAATTAGCCAATTTAAACCTCAAAAGAACTTAGAGAAAATACAAAATACATTTCTGTCTGGCAGTCTGGCACATCATAAAAGTAACACTGTGGCCTTGAGTTGTTTTATCTGTAATAAATAATCTGTTATACCATAAAATAAAAAGATCCCACAAATCAACAAACTTAAGTTAACTTAACTTTGACTAAACCATTTTATCTGATATTTAAACAAATGCTTTGTTTAACTTTGCATGAAAAGTTTTCAAATAATCTTTATAAGGATTTTCACATCGGACACCAACATTTGGAATAAGCCATCAGGGAAAACTGTAATTGTCCCGGAAGACAAAATACACTGTTGTTTCTCAATAATATCAACCTGTTGGCTGCGAGTGACGGAACAGTGAGGAAGCAATAAGAGAAAAACGGGAAGCTGGTGAGAGACCAGAGGATATGTTCAGAGAAGAACAACCTCAGTCTCATTGTGCAGGAGATCCTGCTGAGGGAAAGACAAGGTGGCACCGGGGGGAAGTTGCCGAGAGGAAATAGAGGTGAAGGTGGAGAAAGAGTGTCGCTGATTTTAAATGGTTTATTGTTCTCTTGGCTGAAAGGAACACAATTAATAGAATATCTCTTTAATCGAGATGAAACGTGATTTATGGATTACTTGTTTGTAACTCTTTTGACAATTGATTAATCATTTAGACATTTTTAGGCACAAATGCCAGACTTTTCTTAAATGTTAATATTTCTTCCCTCTTCTATGAGAGTAAACTGACTATCTCTATCTCTTGGACAGTTTTTGTCGTATTGCTCGACCAATACTGGATATTTAAGTGGCCAATACTGATATTTGAAAGCAATTTTCTTTTCTGAGCACACAACAGAAAAAACATTTTTGATAAGGATCTTTGAAATTTGAGTACTCACTGCAACATTTCAGTTGAAAATTTAACTTCAAAGTACTTTCTGGCAAGGGATCTACGCAAGGGAGAATTAGCTCTAACATATCTCTTATTTTCTGCAGTAGAATTGCATTGTTATTTATTTGCCAACATTCACACCATCTGCCTAGCACATTTATCTATAAAGCTCTAATTGGTTAGACAAAACAAGAAATCTGAGGTTATCTTGAGCTGTGGGGACTTGTGATTTTGACTTACATGTTGTTTTACAAATTGTTGACATTCTACAAGCAAATTATTAATAAATTAATCAATATAATCTATAGATTAATCAACACTGAAAATTTCATAGACGCTTCTGTTTTTACATTTTCAGCCCATCTTAACATGTTGCTGTTTAACGTAAACTAAAATTAGCCAAAGATTACATTTTGTTTACTTCAGATCACAGGAGCGAAAAACTGAAACTTTATCAAACAACAGGCGGTTTAACTGTCAGAGTTTGGAAATGTATAAGCAACATCACAGTGTACTGTACGAGTGCAGTGGTATTCAGCCAGCTGCCAGTAATTTGCAAACATGAAAGTGAGTTTTATTTTAAAGCAACTTAAATCTGCCTTTAGCTGTAGTCTCTTCAGGCTCTTCACACGGCCTTGTGCTTAACCTCTTTCTCAAGTTTCAATAATATACTTCCAAACCGACGAGTTACAGCAAGGTATGTGGTAAACATGAAAAAAGGAATGTGCGTATACGTAAGTATGTGCGTGTGAGACGACAACAGTAAAAGTAGGTCAGTGCATTGGCCAGCCAGAACACACAGGCGTGGTGACCGAGGGAAGGAGGGAGGGGTGAGGAGGACGCTGCTGTGTGAATGCGCAGGTCAGTGTCTGCGTGTAGTTGCTGTAGAAATACTAGCTGGGCTGTTACATCAGCTTACATCAGCTATTGGGCCCTACAGATTCACACACTAAGCACACTGAGAACATTCATTCCTTAACCACTACATGACCAACCTTAAACCTAAAGCTGCATCTAACCCTAACCCATAAATCAGGGTCTAAACCCTGCGATGGCTTTTTACAGTTCCAGAAGATTTTCCTTTCCTTCCTCTCATTTAGTCACCCTTATAGATGCGCATACAAGATATCACGCACCAGACAGCGTTGAAAGAGGCTCTCAAAGTGAATGATGTGCCTTTGTGAGCTACCGTTTCTACACTGCACTGCAATACACATCTTCACACTGTCGTCACTCATCACGTCTAGTGCTCTATAGGGGGAGTTAGTGGCTATTTATGAGGCCAAACGATTGGGAGGAGCAACAAAAGTGAGGACAGATGTGACAAGTATGTATTTTGTATGTATACCTTTATTACTAGGAGCCTTGGGCATATTTCTCATCACTCACTGTTTTAACAGTGTTTGGGTAACTACTGTCTGAATATTTTTTAAGGGATGCAACAAATGTTTATTCTTATTATGAATTAATCTGTTGATCAATTTCTAATTATATCAAACAGAAAAACAGCAAACTCTCACATTTGCAAAGGTGAAACCAGGTAATTTCGCTCGAGAAAAGACTTAAATCATTATTCGATTATCAAAATAGTAAACAATTAATATTCTGTTGATTGACTAATTAATTTCTAATCATTACAGCACCCAACTTTTTGGCAATGCTGTTTGGTATGTTCCCCCATCATGAAGTTGTGTCCCTTAAATTCACATGTTAGGGTTTAGTTTCTGCAGCACCTTTTTGCCCAGTAATGTAATGTTTGTATAAATGTCACTAACAAAATAAAAACACGTGGCTCGGTCTTTACCTTTGCCCTGATGTGTCGCATGGTGAGCTCTTCCTCTTGCGTGACTCTGGTGTGGCAGAGTCCAGGGGGTTTTCCCCTACTGCACTCATTTTCAGCTTCAGACCTGTAGAGGAGGAAAAACAAGCAAGGAAAGATCATTAATCATTCATTCTGATGTATTTTTTATTTTGTCAGAATGCTGCAGTTTTCCCAAAAACTTGAAAACAGACTTGTAAAGTGGCTACTGAAACTTTCACTGCCACCAACAACTTTGATGAAACTATAGAGCAGGGTAGTGTTGTAGTCAAGACCACCCAAACCGAGACCAAGTCAAGACCAAGACCAGGGTTTATTGAGACCGAGACAAGACCAAGACTATTAGGGGCTGAGACCAAGTCGGGACCAAGACCGAGTGAGGGCGAGACCAAGACAAGACCAAGACCAGGGTTTATTGAGACCGAGACAAGACCAAGACTATTAGGGGCTGAGACCAAGTCGGGACCAAGACCGAGTGAGGGCGAGACCAAGACAAGACCAAGACTATTAGGGGCAGAGACCAAGTCGAGACCAAGACCGAGTGAGGGCGAGATCAAGACAAGACCAAGACTATTAGGGGCAGAGACCAAGTCAAGACCAAGACCGAGTGAGGGCGAGATCAAGACAAGACCAAGACTATTAGGGGCAGAGACCAAGTCGAGACCAAGACTGTGTGAGGGCGAGATCAAGACAAGACCAAGACTATTAGGGGCAGAGACCAAGTCGAGACCAAGACTGTGTGAGGGCGAGATCAAGACAAGACCAAGACTATTAGGGGCAGAGACCAAGTCGAGACCAAGACCGAGACCAAGTCAGAGACCAAGTCGAGACCAAGACCGAGTGAGGGCGAGATCAAGACAAGACCAAGACTATTAGGGGCAGAGACCAAGTCGAGACCAAGACCGAGTGAGGGCGAGACCAAGACAAGACCAAGACCAGTTCCCCACATTACATGACACACAGTAAAATGTGAAACGTGATCATAGGTACTTCTCAAAGTGATCTGAAAGATCCAGATTCCCATAAAAATGCCCACATACAAACATACTTACGTTGATTTCAAAGATCTGAAATCAACGTAAGCATCTTTATTCAACACTCCTTTTCCATGCTTACCATCGTGGGGAGGGGTGACAGTCATTAACAGTAACAACACATTTTTAATTAGGGTTATTAGTTGCATTTGAAGCAATACTTTTTACATCCAGACTGTTAACAATTAATCATCACTCAATGTCCGAGACCGAGGCAAGACCGAGTACAAATGCCATTTCTCTTGCTCGCTCTCTCTACCTATCCCTCATGAACACAGCTGCACAAATCTGCCCAACACAACGCTGTCAATGTTGGAGACCCAGCTTTACAAAGTTATTAGCAAGCATGTAAGGAGCCTAGCTAATAAGGAGAGCTAAGTTTTTTAGGCTAACACGCTGTACATAGGTGGAAGACAATATCGACTGCACGCCATTATCATAATTATTTAGAGTGTTCTACCTCAGATTTGTTAAGTGATCCACTGGTTGGCATCAAGTGTTTGTCGTGTTCTAACCATAAAGAATAGATGAAAACCACATTTAACCATCTGGTTTCTTCAACTTTCACTCAGGAGCAAAAATCAGCCTTTAAACTTGAAAGAAATAATGATTTGACATTTATTGTGATAATTAGCGCTTTCGAATGACGTGAAAGTTTTTAATCACAATAACATTTATTGGCCATTTTGTCCAGTACTAGCATCCAAACATGAACAGTCAGAATTAAGATGTGTAATAAGTAGGTTAAACTGACAAAAAATTTAATATAAGGCTATTCAGAGAAATAAAAACGTTAAACAAATGCAACACTTGCAATTGAAAGTTTCAACTTACATTAAATATATTCATCGTAACTTGCATTGGCAAAAATACATCAAATATTATACTTATGTGTCAAATCTACACTGTAGGTTCGCCGCAGCCTACTCATTTCTGGCTTGTCTGTTTCTTCATTTTAGTAAAAATTTAAAAATAACTGCTGTTCAACATCGATTAGCTTCAAGTCCAACATGATCCGCTCAGTTTCAGTTGCCATTGTTTGTAGTATCCGACCTACACCACCAACAACAGCAGCTAAACTCACACTGACAGCGCGGAAGAAACTCAACACAGTGGAAGACACAAACCCCACAGCCAACTAGTGTTTTGGCGGTGTAATTGCAGAGCGACACAGACACCAACGCACAAGTATAAAGGCTCACGACCCAGTGCAGAAGTGTGAATCAGCATTTAAAAGTTAGTGCATCACAGCACCATAAGTACTCTGATTTATGTCAATTCCGCAGAAGAGAAGGACACGACCACACTGGATTTAGTTAACATTACAATATTTATTTAGATGTATTTATATATACTTAACTTGTAAATTTTGCTTGGTTTTTGGAACATAGCTATAAGGGATGTACAAAGTAACATACAGTAAATTCGTGTACAGTCTTTTTAATGCTGAAGTCTAAGGTATTGTTCCATCATGTTGAAATGTGTCAGAAACATACAAAATATAACAGGGAGGCTCCCTGTTATATTTTGTATGTTTCTGACATTCCTCTTCAGTCTCTCTTAATGGACTCCTGCTTGTTCTTTATCTGCAAACTCTACAGTCTGCATCTCTCTCGCTGCATCAGGAGGGTAACCATGGCAACAACAAAAAAACGCTGCAACATTCAAAGAAGCACACCGTGTATAGAGAATAGTTAACAGGGTCCCTGCACGACCCATTAAGCCAAGTATTGAAGTTAAACGCCTTTTAATGGTATCAGAAATTTAATTTAAGACCAATGTATTGCATTTACATTTATCCATTTAGCGGACGCTTTTATCCAAAGTGACTAACAATTGCTATACATGTCAGAGGTCGCACGCCTCTGGAGCAACTAGGGGTTAAGTGTCTTGCTCAGGGACACAATGGTGGATGGGTCAGAGTGGGGGATAGAAGCTGGGTCTCTCACACCAAAGGCATAGTCTTATCCATTGCGCCATCGCCACCCCCCTATTAATCCAATTACACACACAGAGCAACAAAAAGCAGAAATGACATGGATTTCTGTCACGCTTAGCAAAGTTTAGAGACAGACAGGATTTATTATTTTATTACTAACCCGCTGTTATGTGTGCTGACAGAATTTGAGACTGAAAGCCTTTAAATTATTTTTGGGGTCTGTACATGTTGTGACTGGGAGGCACATCACAAAGGGCAAAGATCGACTCAAGTTTCTTAATCTGTGAAACCACAGCCATGCTGTAGTATCTAAATAAAAATCTGTAAATGGTGGTCATACAAACTTCAGACACACAAAAAACGTTTTAAATCCACGGGCAACCTTCAAAAAACAAGCCACTATTGTCAGTGTTGGGTACCGCCGCAAGGCCACACTGCTCACAGGACGCTAATCCATCCTGACTAGCCTTGTTTACGTTTCACCTCAAATCACCCTTCTCCTCCTCGGCCCTCCTTGTGTTGCTGACACGCAGCACTTAAAAAAAGATCCATCTGCCACAGTGAGCAATGAGAACATTGCTGCACATTAGCACACAATGAAAATACAAATTAGCCTCGTTTCTCTGAGACTGGGTTCAGTATGTGCTTAAAGAAACAGCTGAAACTGTAAGTATGGTGAGAAAACCTGATTATCAAAATAAAGTTTGCAACAAACAACATGCACAAAATTCAAGAAACAGGAACAAGGCTTACTATAGATCTCTGTGTGTGAATGTTTAGAGTGTTTTTAGTCAATCTGCAGCCTGGACTTGTGTTGAGTCTGGAAATAAAGTAATAATCTGCAACATATTCGTTAAACAAATGTTAGTTTTCAACTTTATGCTATTTTGATGAGCGATTAATCAGTTTGAGTCATTTTTTTAGGATTCCAGCTTCTCAAATGTGAATATTTCATGGTTTGTTTACTCCTCTATGACGGTACACTGAATATCTTTGGGTTGTGGACAAAACAAGAAATTTGAGGACGTCATTTTGGGCTTTGGGAAACACTGATCGCCATTTTACAAGGCACAATGTAAATGTATTGTCAATTTAACAACAGGGTTGTAAGATGAGATGCAGTATGTAGTTATAGAAACTAAACAACTAATCAATTAATAGAGAAAATAATCGACAGATTAGTCCACCCTTGAATAGTGCTGATACCAAAACCACATTTCTATTGATACATTACTTTGCTGAGTATAGACATGTAAAAGGTCAACCATAATTTCCCAAAGCCCAAGTTGGCATATTCAAATGCCTTGTTTGACAGTAAAAAACACGAAGATATTTCAGCACAGAACGCCTGAGAAACTGGAACAGAGAATTATTGGCATTTTTAGTAATAAAAAAAAAAAAACTTCATTAATTTTCTGTTGATCGACTCATCTTTTCAGCTCTAATGTGAAGTGACAGCAGTTGACAGTGACAGAGGAGAGAGGCTCCATCGTTCCAGACCGGACTCGCCATCGTAATGCGGTTCATTTATGATGCTGACAACTCCCAACTTTTGCCTGTGCATTTCTGGCAATAAGTCAACACAGGTACGGTTTATTGACGAAAGAGTGCACAACATACAGTAGTTACATTTCATAGCATACTGCATATGCTCCACTCTGACTCTATGTAGATAATTTATAAATTCACATGAACACGCTCTAGCGGTGTGTTTATACAGTGAAAACATTCCTAACAATCACATTTACATTTCCCTATAGAGAGAAGCAATGAGGGAAACGTGGCTGAAGTGTGTATGGTCGATAAGCTCGTCAGCCGTGCACAACAAGCCATAAACAGCCATCGTCATATTTCTGGGTTTTCCTGTTTCCCTACCATTATGATTATGTTTCGTGAACAACAGTTATTCCAACCTGGTGGTTAAGTGTTTATGATGAAGTCAACGTCATCACACCTGGGAGCCAGCTTTGCTTCACAACCCACCAATGTTATGCTATAAAAAGGCAGCATCAAGAACATGCAGTACATGATGGGGTGAACTCAATGAACTCTTTAACAGCAGTCTATTACATGCATACACAGTTGGGGTCTTGCAGTGCTTGTAGAATAGAGCAA